TGTGGGGGGGGTGGGGTGGCTGTGCAGTTGACGGGAGTGGAGTGAACAGTGGCACATTTGCATGAGCCCACAAAACCATCTGACTTGGAGAGCGATGTGGACAAGCCTGCGCCAATTTATTTTTTTCCCCCTTGGGGCTGTTTCGATCACCCTGACGTAACCGCATTGGACGCCGAGATTAAAACGACGCCGTTCTTTGTGATGTGACTTCAGAGTTCTATGGAAGAACAGACATGGCCAATGGCGTCAACAGCTGCTTCCAGCTGATTCTCCTTCCCTCAATCAGCCCCTCTGTCTATGTGTGCGCGATTTGCGAGGGAGTGCGCGTGTAACGAGCCATGAAAGCCAACATACATCAGCTGATCGAGAGGAAAGGAGGTCCTTTAAATAGACCCCCTAAGTTCTCCTTACCCACCAAATAAAATGATCTAAACAAGTCACTCTTTTAAAACTATTTCAGTCCGAAGCGTACACACTAAATATGAATTACATTTGAAGATGGGAACGCACGTCAAAGTTATGTAACAATGGTTAACCTTGCAAAAAAAAAAAAAAACAAAAGGGGTGAAAAAAAAGAGGTAAAGTTGTTCTGCAAGCTTTGTATGAAATGTTAAATCAAAGCTGTTGGGCGGGGTAAAACAGACAAAGTGGTGGTGGTGGTGGTGGTGGTGGTGGGGGGGGGACGTGGGGAAAGAACAAAAATGAAGTCATAAGCTTCCCTGGTGGCACACAAATGCAACCTTTGGATAAAGTTCACGTTGTTCATCCGTAAGCACAACTCGGTACAGCTAGCGCAAATTGTACTCAAGCTAGAGGATTGTTACTTGAGGATAATCAGACTCAAGTTAAAAGCTGACCTTCAAATTACTCAAAACTAAGTATACAGGGGAAAAATTACTCAAGTACAAAGTAACTGGGGAGTAACTTCTGATCTTTTTTTTTTTTTTTACTCAAAGTATGAACGTCCACGACATCGATTACCACCCACCTTTGTTCATAAGCACAAAAGCAGAGAAATGACCAAAACAAAAAAGCAACAAGTATGTAGGTTCCAAATATTAATTGTCAATAGCGGGCTATTGTATGATTTTGTGCCATTTTAAACTCTTAAAATTGCAGAGGCAATTTTTAGAATGTCTAAAAAAAAAACAAAAACAAAAGCAAATAACATCCTCGGGCACATTCCACACAGCCAACATGACTTTAAAAGCAACAAATGGAATTACTCAAAATAGAACCCCTCAAACGAACGCCAACACAAATTGGTGTGCCTAATATTTTGGCCAGCGAGTGATTGATAAATGATGATTTCCCCCCTCCGTGGTGAAATATCAAAAGAAACAAAAGACTCATTCACGGCCGGTCTGTGTTCTTTGCACAAACGCGAGACGTCGTACGTTCTGCTCGGGTCTCGTGGGGCGCTCGCCTGGAGCATGCGACTAACTAAAATCTTCTCATGCATGGAAATGGACACAAAAAAAAGAAATGCAGCTTGCATTGGATTTTAGTGCCCCCCCCCAAAAAAAAATACTGCGATCGTTTTTAAGGGTTTTTACTGTCAACATGCAACTCCGAATTTTGTCTTCTGTGTAGTACAATGCGCCGGGGCAGCGCTGAGCAGAGCTACATCATAATTACCGATAAGCAGGAAGAGGCAGAAAAGGTCTTCAACTAATCGCCAGCAGTAGTTCTTGAGAACATATTGTCTGTGAGAGTTGTTCTATGCTCCGTTTGCATCCGTTGCTGCTGCACGTGTTGTTTTGAAACTTTAGAATTACTGCAACTAAGTGGCGTTAGCATTTCACGTCACGTTTTATCATTTTGCTAGCAATATTCTTTGGACGCAACGATACGTTTGATTGATCATTTTGCTGTTTGTGCGTCACTAATACAGGAAATTTCAAATATACAGCTTGGAGCTAGCATGCTTCGCCTCTTATTTAGAAAACTTTGGACAGAGCCTACTTTTCACTTTGTCAAAGTGATGTGGTACGGGTCTCTCACTTCTTGAGCGCAAAAGAGTGAGAACGGGCACTTCGGAATATAAACCGGGCTTCAGAGTTAGTTTCAGTGTTAGTTTCCTAATTCAGTGTTAGTTTCCCAAAACCGACAAGCGGCCCAGTTACCTTGTAGTTTTCCAGGTCCATTCGCAGGCGGTTGTTGGCGGCCAGCAGCTCACGGTTGCGCTTCTCGTAAACTTTGAGCTCTGCTTCCAGCTCGGCCTCGTAGTCACGACTCATTTGCTGGAACTCCTGCAGCTCCTCCCGGGCCTCCTCCGCACTGGAAACACACAAAACACGAGATCATAACTATACTCATTTAACCGGGCGCGTTTTAGAAACGCATTCAATGAGTACTCGTAAGTTTGTTTCCCCCCAAAAAAACATGATGCTTATTTTCACTGAATTCCACGAATTCTACTTCAATCCTGTGGCAACAAACATAAAATGCCAACGTGAGCACACAAGGTTTGTTTTTCTCATCTGGCACACCCAGCAAAAACAAATGTCCTCTATTGCCGCAGATCATCAAAAAAAAAAAAAGCCTGTGAAGTTTGATGAGACCATGTGAGAAATGTGTTTTCATAAACCTCAGAGTAAAATCAACTCAGATTTGAGATTGCAGATAACACCAGCAGACATGTCCTTGCCACAATGTCAACATCTTTGAGGAAAAGGGGCTTTTAACATGAAAAAAACAAACTTGTGCTGGTGCTTGGCAGCCTGTTCCTTCCAGTAGTGCACTTCCTCCTTCAAGGATCCAAAGTCAGGGGTGTCAGGATCCTTCATCTCCATCGCCAGCCTGGCCCAGAGCAGCCTGAGACGAACGGCCCAATTTGCCCGGATCGGCCTGGTGCAGTCAAGCCGTCTAGACCTGAAAGGAAGACCAGCTTGAGTTGCAGCTTCTGATGACAAATCTACTCATATCGTGTATAAAATGAATAGAAACTGCCCACCAGGACTTTCTTTCACATTTGGCATATGACTTATTCATTATTCTCTCTTGCTGGGTTGCCATCAAGTCGGTAATGAAGTGTGTTTCGAAAATAATCAGTTTTCTTCTACTTTTGACTCTTTAAAATGAAACCGCCAAGTGTATGGAATATAGAGTTAAAGGACAATTCTCTTTCGGTTTGAGACTTGCTGATTTTCACAGTGAGTTGGTTGCAGTCAAGGCGGCAACTAAGTCCGTTTCGGGGGGGGGGGGGGGGGGGCAATGTTAACCTTATTAAGACCTTTCCATGCAACGTACTGGCGTGTCGCATATACAAAACACAGAACTTGTCCTTTAGAGTTTTCTCTCACATTCGGTAATAAAATCGATGATACTCATTTGGGTGCATGCAAGCCAGCCACAAAGTCCGTTTGCACAATCACCCAGTTTAGTCTCATTGATAAATCATAATAAAAAGACCTTGTGTATCATCCCTAAAAGTGATAAGATATTACTCTTTGGGGCTCCCTCTACCATTCGGCGATATACTTATTGAGGTAACATCTTTTAAATTCGCTGCCAATAGATCAACTATATTTGCTGTACAACGTGACAACGGCAAACAACGGCCAGAAGAGACGAAAACAGGGGCGTCAATATTGGTTGGATATATTCAATGTTCTCGCTTGAAATTGCTGTGAAAAATAAACTTTTCATACAAAGTTTTAACATGTTAAGACACGTCAAAAAACTTGCCCGAAACATAACGGTCATTTAAATCCCTAGAGAGCTGTGACGAATAATTCTGAAATGACTTACTTGTTGCGAGGGGGTTAGACAGCTCAAACTTTGCAATTCAAAGAAACAAGAGAGTCAATGGAATCTCCTCTCGCCTTTGAAATGCAAATAAATTAGCTGGCCGTGCTAAAGGGAGTTAACCATTCCAATCCCAGATGACATCAACACACCGCAGTTCGCCGGCGAGAAAATGTCGTTGAAAGGCGACGAAACGCTCCAAACTACACACTCGCTGTCGTCCGACTTTCTTAAAAACGACCACTGTTACCGGCTTGATGTTTTTCCGGGAAATTAAAGCGACACTTCAGCCCGAGTTGGGAGTCACAAAGTTACTACCTTCGTGAGTCTGAGACGTCGAACAATAAACGCTGCCATTCACATTGTCCGGAACCGTCCACCAATCACAAGTTACGTGTCCGGCCTCGTTTCCGCTTCCTATTAGTCGTTAGTACAGCTGCCTGTTCCGTTAAATAGGCGCGGCTTTAGTCTAACCATCCAATCAGATGGAGGATGACAGAAGAGGCGTATCTGCATAATCTTCGCAGTCTAGACGTTTGATGGGTGTGAGTGGTGATGCCTTCATGTTCTACCGGAAATCCGAAAACAGCAAACTTTGAAGAATATAATGCATTTGGGGGAAGTAAATATGGCGAAAATGCGTCCACGGATGTGCTGTAATTACTTAAAACAAGTAAACACATACCTTTTTGAACAAGACATTTTCTTTTGTTTGGTTTCATTCAGAAAGTGTGAACCGAACCATTAAAAGTGTTGTTAATTGAGATTTGGTAAATTTGTAGCACCTGATTGTTTCCTGGCCTCTGATTGGACGATTCCGCTTCCTGTTAGTGTTAGTGGTGTCATAGGTCAACAAGGGTCAACTGTGTCCTTTTGAGAGGGATTAGGCGATCTGATCCTAGTTAATCCACACAAATGCACCATCGGTTTACAAAAAACCTGGTTGGCACTCTGACTCTGTCCTTGATACCTATTTGACTCGTTTTATCCCCTGACTCTTTCTTTCAATGTTGATTTCCCTTCCTAGGTGGCATCCTAGGACTGACAGCCCTTGAAACCAGACTGAATGGTCTTCCTCTTCTGGGACTTAGTTGTCATTTGCTTCCATGTGCCTACATGCCCGATTCTTTCTTTCAATGTTGATTTCCCTTCCTAGGTGTCATCCTAGGAAACTAATTGTTGAGCGCGAACAGTCAACTCAAAAAGGCTTTTTATTGTCAAGCAATACTACATCATATGTTGATTGAAATTTCTGGGTGACATCCTGGGATAGTCTGGTAGAAGCGGAATGGTCAAGTTATAAAGGGGATCACTTTTTCACATCACTCTGAAACCAGATGTTAAAACAGTCGCATACGGATTTCCATGGCCATTTATTCAACCCCCAAAATTTGGAATGTCTGAATGATTCCAAAACAATTACTTTTGATGTCACTCTGAAATCAGAGATAATGACAGTCACAAAAGGCATTTTACTCTGCTCCGAGAAGAATGAAACTTGAGTGGCAACCTGATACAATATACAAAGTTGACATTGTTTTGATCCATGTTTTTTATTGGTTTTTTGAGGGACAAGAAAACAAACATGATGTATGCATCTCCCTAATATTGTTTTTTTTGATTGACAAGAAAACAAACATGATGTATGCATCTCCCTAATCATAAGATTGACAGCCCTTGAAACCAGACTGAACGGTCTTCCTCTTCCGGTACTTAGTTGTCATTTGCTTCCATGTGCCTACATGCCACTTAATTACAATTCAACAGACATCAAGTAATCACCGTGGACTGATCTAAGTTACAGTTAAAGTACATGATGAGGTATCTTGGTTGATGGCAATCTAGAGTCCAGTTGCTGCCATTTAACATTTGCGGATTTCAAGTATGACATGCTGATGAATGAACCCAGTATGATGTCATTTTAATAAAAAATAACTTGGTACTCTTCCAAGGCTCACTTGTGCTGCCATTGTAAGTGAAATCCCTTTTATGACGTTGCCCAAACGGGAGCTGCATACCTGTCTGGTCCAGACACCGAAACTAAGACGACTGGCGTGTTCGTCAGAGGTAAAAAAAAAAAAGTCAACACAAACGCTGACATGTGTGGACATGAGAAGGCACAAAAAGGCGTCAAGTAGAATGACCGAGCCTAAGTTTAAGTTTCGGGAGCAGCACTGGGTGGTGTGTTCAAGTGGAGCCCTGTGAAACCTGTTTAATTTAGAATGCTTTTGATAGTCAAGGGACTAATTTGTTTTTTAAAAACTAGTGATGGGCCATCGTATTTAGATTTTTTTTTTTTTAAGATTTAACAAAAAGACATCTTAAATGTATACATAGATATTTCTCTCACTTTATCATTTAGCATGAATCAATGAGCCAATTATTTAATGCAATAAATTTCATTTTAAAAATAATGTGAAAAATAAATGCATTTAATTAATACATTTGAAGGCAATTCAGTAAAATAAATGCAACAAATATGACATAATCCTCCCATAAATTTAACTATTTCTTTGCACAAATGAAATGGGTTCATTAAAATGTATGTCTTTTTCTTTTTCTAACTTGATGTTGTATTCACTTATTTAAATAATTGGTTAATATATTGCAAATAATGCAATGAAAAAGTGAGTAGAATAAACAATTTCTTAATTGTTTAAACAAAATAAAAATCTTCGTAAAATGCAATTTTACATGTAGGTCAATTCATTACGTTCTTTAATTTAATATAATGATAAAATAGTCAAATAAGCTCTTTTACATAGAGCATACATTGAACATTTTATATTTATTTTACTAGAAAATAAATTCACAATCATATATTAGATTTAATGTAATTTAAAAAGGAAATATTTATTATTTAAAATAGTTTTTTTTAACAAACAATGAGGTTGTCCATCCTTCCATATTTAAAAATATTAAAGCGGCACCACGAATTTGTTAAGGAGGACGTGTTTCCTCACATGCTGCGATTATATTCATCTTTGATACTTCTTGGTAAAATAAATACAGTTAAACACATTTATATTCATATATTAAAAACTAAATATGAGATCAAAGTTGGTGTGTGCATTTGCTTGGCACAAAAGATACACGCTAATTGCTTAGCATCTTAGCAACAGGTCTTTTCTGCCTTTCCTTCTGACTGGCTCAGCTTTACGGTTCCAGGGCGACAGCGCTACCTGTTGCCTTGGCATACATTTCAAAAACACCCACGCATGTATGGACCCACTGTACATGGTCATGGTCTTGGACCCAGCAGGTGCTCCTGGTTGATATTCAACAGTAGCACCTGACTAGTTATCCTTGTGGGTCTCTCGGCCCCGCTTCCTGGCCAGGCGGGCCTGCCGCATTTCCTCCAGAGTCTTGCGGGGGTCCATGACGAAGGCCAACGCCACGCCGACCGTGCCGTCGCCGTCCTGGCGGGAGAAGCAGAGGAAGGTGGCCCACAGGAAGGCGCAGCAGCCCATGAAGGCCGTGCGCATGTGCAGAGGCAGCAGCGCGAAGTTCAGCAACTGACAACACACACCTTACAATTAGCTTCGCGTTTAGCAACACGTCGGGCACGATGGGGCATGGTTATTTTTAAATACCAACTTGCTGTCGTATTACAATAACTTAATCATCATTGTTAAAAGACATACTGTCAATTAACATTGACTCGTGTATGTTTCATTCCAAATTAACATACCGTCATTGACCAACTACGAGTGCATATTATCATGATTAATGAGCAATAAACTGTCATTTAACAACAACTTGTCTTTGTTTATTGTTATCAGTTCACACACAGACATTTAACAATATCTAGTCCATGTTTGTAATGATTATCAATAAAGCAAACTTTTTTTTTTAATTTTCCAATCATTAAATCACCACGTACTGGAATTTAACAATTTCTCATATGTTTATCACCGTTCAATATGAACACATTGAAATTCAACAACGACTAGTCCAAATGTATTATCATGATTGATTCATATAGTTATTTATAAACCACCAGTGCATGTTTCTTCTGATCATTAATCAGCAATACACTGCTCATTTGACAAGTACTAGTGTCTGGTTGACTTGAGTTGTACTGACGGCGAGCTGTCAGTCATGTTGTGTACATGCGACCTCTGCTAAGGTCATTCATAAATAGAGACACATTCTTGGCAGGCGCATTCTGGTCAATACAAATAAAAAAGGAGGGGGAGTGGGTTGTAGAATATGAAGAATGTAATATGAATAATGAATCATAATGTTTACCTGCATGAAAGGCCAGTACATGAGTCCAGTCTGGAGGAGGAAATACAAAAATAGAAATATTTTTGGATTATCAAGCACATTCGGGGAGTATCAACAAATACAATTCCGCCCTGATTTCAGATACTATGCAGAGGTGTGTGTAATCTGGGTTAACCCCACTGTCGAAGAAGTTGACTTCCCCACGCACCACCGCTCACCTTCCACGTGTTGAAGAACTTTTCCCGCCAGTCTTCAAAGATGTCTTCCTTGCCCTCAAGGAAGCTCACTCCTCAAGGACAAAAGAGAGAAAAAATATACATTTGTGGATATAGTCATGATAGACCAAATTTCATGTGGCTAAATCAAACTATATATATTCCAGGGCTGTATTTTTAATAATGAGCCAAGTTTCATTTTTTTGGTAAATTATCCCATTGAACTTGAGCAGACAGCTTCCTGAGTATTGATTGATGTTGTTTCTTCAAACTTTTTTTAAATACATTTGTGATAGACGTGGCCAAATTTTTTGTTGCAAAATTGGCAATGTTTTTGATGTGCGTATGTGTATGCGCATGCAAATTGTATTCAATATAAAAATAGATGATTGCTGATATCTTTCCAAGTTTATGTTTGGCGAACCCCCGGGGATACCCTTAACCCTCCAAGGATAAATATCTAGTTCCGCCACTGCATGGGACCTAATTAGCCAACAGTTTTGAAGTAAAAATCCCAATCAAAACCCTGACACGACAAAATCGGTTTGTTTGTTCCACTCACCCGTGTAGAAGACACTGGTGGCCAACGGGGAGGCGAAGCTCTGGTCCAGCAGCAGCTTTCGGAAGAGCATCCCGGCCGACTTCCCCGGGAAACGTCGCTCTAACGCTCTCATCCAGAAGTAGTTGAAGTTCCCGTGGAAGGTGACCGCCACCACGGCCACATTGCGGGTGTGCGTATAGTCCAGACGCTGCCTGTGCGCCAGCAGCTGGTGCAGCAAATCACCTCCGGCGAACAGGGCGCCGTACAGCGTCACGTTGGCCAGCCAAGGGAAGCGCTTGGCGGTCTCCCGCAGCATCAACGTCCGCATGCTCAGGCTGGAAGGTCCCTTCGAAGCTGCACCTCGCTGCGCTCAGGGCGCGCGCAAACTGCACATCCAAGGGCGATTACGTCACATGGAGGAGAGGTTTCGTGCAAATCACGTTGCTTGTTGAGTGACGTCATCCGTCAGCTGATCGTAACAACTGCTCTGAGGAGGCTCCCAAAGTGGCAGATTGCCTCGGAGTCTGCGCACGACGAACTTCCTCGGTCAGGTGGCCAATCCTGCGTTAATCCGATCCTGCGTGGGCGCGTGTTATTTGAGTGGAGCAGCTGCGCCCTTTCTGCACCGGACACGCTCACGCGAGTTAATCAACCCGTCGAGGTCGACGTCACTGCAGCACGATATACAAAGCATAAACATACAAAGGATGGCATACTGTTTTTAGTGTTGTAGATAACTCTCGCGCCCCTACACCCACGCACAAACACTAACGTAGTTTTGACATCACTTAAAGGACAATTCTGCTTTAGCAAGAAGGACACAGTTCGCTTTTTTTAGTCAAAGTTTGATTTTTCAGTCAACAAATTGCCTCGTAAGGAGTTGCCACTGCTCTGTTTAGGTTCCGTCTGTTGTTCCATTTTTTTACTTCAAAAACTGTGTGTGGTAACTCGTCCCCAGATCATGTCATCAATGTCTATGCCTCTCGCCAACAGTAATGACAACATCTGTTATATATTTGAAAGCTCTCTGTAAGAAAAAAAAAGTACATTTTAAGTTTAGTTGTTGCAAATGATCCATTTTGCTTACATTTATGTATAGTATCGAGGATATAAGTCTATATATTTTGTCAATTTCTAATAACTAATGTAGCCATAATTCTGAGAAAAAAAAAACTTAAAATTTGGAAATGTCCTACCCCCCAAAAAGAACCAAACAAACATTAACAATGTGCGTCAGTGTATTCATTGACAGATCATGTCTGTCTGGGAAAATGAACAAATGTGGTGGCATTTGATGAACATGCGTAGTATGTTGAATACTCACGGTTTACACAATTGATATATGTAATTCTAAACAATCAGATATACTGCAGGCACTTTTGGGGGCATTTTTGCTTGGTGTCGTACATGTGCCTTGGTGCACTCAAAATTAAGAAATACTGGTTTAAATAAACACAGAGAGCATAACCTCTTGCTTTGGTAGCGGTCATAAAAGTAACTCCAGTCTGGATTGCATTCGGCTGTGCCTTCACCAGCAACTCGTGCAGCCCCAGCAGGAAGATGTCCGCGCTACTCCGATTGCAGAAAGTAGTCAGCAGGCGGCGCTCATGATCACCCAAGGCCTGCTTCTATGTACTCCTTGCAGAACCTTTCAAAATGACCCCGTGGAGACATGGTGAGGGGCAAATTGAAATGCTCGCATGATGCAGACCATTCTAGAAACATAATGGAATCTCCACATTTCAATCGCAGAGTTGGAACCTGACCAAAATACTTCAGCTCGGGGAGAAGTTCAGTTTAAATCTTCCGTCGTCATCAATTGACTGTCCAATAAAAGGAAAAAAATAATGGGTTAAAAAATAGTAGTAAGATAAGACCCCCAAGAGATTTAGGAGGAAGAAGCAAATGATGACCCAAAGACGCAAATGTGACGTTATGTCGTGATCGTTCACACCCAACCTCACATTACACGTTTGAACGTCGATTTATGCGTGCATTCGTCACTTTTCGCTGGGTTCAAACGAAAACTTTTGTTAACTTACTCAATGCAGGTCGTCTTATTAAAAGGCTGTGAAATTCTCAAAGCATGTATTACGCGCCACATGGGACATGCAATGACTTGACTCGCGCACACGCACAGGCGCGCGTTCACGCTCGAACACTCACAGCGTCAGATGATCACAAACGGGCGAGGAGAGGGGGTCCTGCCATTGGTTAAGTGGCATGTCAATCAAAATAATACGCTATGCGATTGGCCCTCCGTGCTTAAAGGCCCACGCAAGCGTCATTTGTGGACTTGAGTGTTCAAGTTGAAGTCTACCGAGCGACTGAGGCATCGTCGCCTGCGGTCGGGTTACGTTGAGTGCAGTCTGGATATCGGCGACGAAATGAAGGCCAGAAAAGTATAAAAAAAAGTAAGGTTGACATAACAAAGAGCGCATTTGATCGTGTCTGTGTCTTGTGGATTCTTTGTTACGGATAGTGAGTCATGAGTCTTCTCGCCATCGTTTGTGGTCCGAGTAAGCATGTCGTTGTCTTTTCGGCCACTAGCTCACTTAGCTGCAACTTTCAGCCGTCTCGTTGGTGTTGGTCAATGGGGAAACCGTTCTAAAATACGATTCATGTGCCGCACTCATTGGCAAATTAATCACCGCAACCAGAGCTGAGCCTCTTAAAAGTCGCCATTGTTCATTACAACTTTTGGCTACTTTCCCCAATCACTTTCTGTTAGATTACACATTTGGTTGTTTCCAAAAAGTTTCCTTTCGACATAGCACCAAAGCCGATTTCATCCAACTCCGGTGAATTTGAATGAACATCGTCGTTTCCTTATTCCGTTACTTATTGTAGTGTTTTGACATCAGAGCAAAGGTAAAAAAATAAGAATTGTGCAACTGAGTTTGGTTTCTTGGCGTTCGTACCCACAGAGAACAGCTCTTACGTTTACTTTTAATTAAGAGTAACGTTTTTATTTTTTTGCTCCTTGCATGAAAATAAAACCGATGTTAGCACAACCTCTGCTATAGTTAGAACATCATCCCTTTTCCTTTGCGTGACTTAACTATGTCGTTTTGCCATCGGGGCAAACGTATAAAATGTGAGATTGTGCAGCTGAGTCTGGCCTATTTGCATCAAGCGCGAGATATCAGCTATGAATGAGCTATTAAGTTTGAACCTTTAAAATGAATAGCAATAGCTTTGTTTTGCATTCCACAAGAGCCGATGTGAAAAGAACCTGTGATATATTTAGGAAATCATTACTTCTCTTTTTTATGATGGATTGTGCAGTCAGGCAAATGTAAAAAAAGTGAATTGTGTAACGGAGTTTGGCTTGTTGACAGCAAGAGGAATAGATACAAGCTATAAATAAGCTATTAAATATGTGTGCGTGTGTGTATGTGTGGCGTAATTGCATGACAGCAAGTAGAAGAAATACGGAGGATGTTGTAACAAGTGGCGACATGTCTTTCGGTTGATGATAATTATGCGGGTTTGCTGTGCAAGTGCCATCCATAACTTTGCTCTTTGTCAGAGCATGTGTGGCATTTAACAGTGGAACATAAAACCACCCCATCACGAAGTACAATGCCTATTTTTAATGCAACTCATATTATATCTTGCAGGGTTTCCTGATGTCGAATCGATCTTACAGATGACCTATGACATGTTTGCACACTGTAGTCAGTCAGTTATTGAGGCCTGGACCATATTGAGGCCTGGATGAGCAGGACTTGCAAAGAACCACTTTTATCCTCAAATTAAAGCAGAGATGGAGCTAATTGTAGCAATTACACCCGTGCAGTAAGACCAGACATTTTTTTTTTTTTAATTCAGCAGCTGCATGTTTTCTTCCTTGAAAACAAGAATTACACACATGAAAATTAATGACTTCAAGGTTCTGACTTGCTGGGCAAAAAATGAATAAAGAAGTCATAATAAAAGACTGGGTAGTTGGTGGAATGTGAGAAGCGTGAGAGAGTGCGGGACTATTGTTGGGCCTGAGCATGCCTCCATAATTAAAATGCACGTTAATTGGCAGCAGTGTGTAAACAAGACACGCACAATTGTTTGGTGCTATTGTTGATTCATTTGGTTTAGAATCAGTGAATTTTTGTGGGGGGGAGGGTGCGGGCTGAAAGTGTGTCTTCGCTTGCAGTTCCGCGTAAAGCGCCCCGAGGCTTTTTGAGCGACTTCCGCTTTCGACGCGGCTGAGGAAACGCGCTCGACCACAGTGAGTCCCAATAACGAGTCACAATAACACACAAGGAGAGAAACCCGAATGCTGGGCAGATTGTAGGTACGTTTCGAACTGGCTAGTGTAATTCAAAAGTTAGCCGCTGTCAATAGTACCATGTTAAAAAAAACACACACAAAAAAAACCAAAACAGTATTTTTGATAATATCTGACACAAATGTATATTTTGGCTTTTTTTGCATAATTAAGAGCTCCCAGGCATCATAACTCATTGACGGGCGCTGTCGTTTCTATTCGTCAACTGGAATCGGACCATTTAGTGCTACAATGAATATTCGTCAAGTACGTAGGCATGGAAGAGGGTCTCACCTAGCGTTTCCGTGAAATTCAAACTTCTATGTATGTACGTGTAACAGACGCCAGTAGATGACGACAGTGCATTGCAATTGGATTTGAGATCCAACACAGTTTTTAAATGGAAGATAACGATTAGGGGTGAATCTCAGCTTGTCACGTCGGTTATGTTCAAAGTCAGACGAGTTTCAAGTGATGCTGGGCCAGAGTATATAAATGTATGGTGTAAAAACGTGTGTTGACTTTGTAAGACCAGGTGGTGCAAAGGAGATGTTTATAAAAAAACCAAAACAGCTGATCAACTCAAACTATGCAGTGAATAATTTTCCCTCGTGGAGGCAGCACATCATAATACAATGTGGGCATGTCAAGCATGACAAAATTGATTGAATGGCAAAATTGTCTTGACTTTGTGATGTATGTGATGCGGTCACGGTAATGCTACGCCAGCTGTGTGCGCTAACTTGCTGTGTGTGCGCGTGTCTGTGTCAGCGAGCGAGGGAGCGAACGAGCGGCGAGGATGTCGGCGGAGGTGGACGTCCTGATGCAGGAGGCCAAGGAGAGCATCGAGGCGGCGCAGAACTTTCGCACCGAGCTGCAGCAGAGACTCGGGGGACTCAACCAGGCGCGACAACAGGTCAGCTTTTTCTCGGCAGCTGCAGGATTACATCATCATCATCATCATCATCATTAATACATCATCACCTGGGATACGAGGCAAGACATGAATGCGCAAGTTAAATTCTTCAAAGTCCGTTAAGACAAATTTGAAACCCTACTTTCACACACTAACTCCAATCTAAGCCTTTTTAAATCTCATTTTGTGTCCCTGGCGGTGGTATCTCTTCCTTCCTGTTAGGGTGAGGAGTGATCCGAGCAGCAGCCGCGAACAGTAAACAATGTGTCTACTTCCTGTCGCTGTCCCTCAGGCCCACAAGCATGCTCGCTGTCAACAAACACTTTTTCTTGTTTTATTGTCGTGTTTGTTTTCACGGGAGACACGATGACATGCGTGCGCCAAGATGGCCGACAGGGGTCGTGCTCGTGTCAAGATGATTCTTCATTCTGGTGCTCGTTTTCCTCTGCCAGGTGCGGGGCAGTTCGACCCAGGCCCGCGATGCCCTCCGCAGGCACTTTACCGAACTGCAGGCGGCGGCCACCCGGCTACTGTCGGAGCGACTGAGCGCACTCCTTGCCGAGGTGGACGCCATCGAGGCGGACAGCGTCAGGCCTCTGGATGACTGTCAGAGCCTGGTGGAGTACGGCATGGGCCAGGCCGATGAGCTCCTTCGAGAGGGTAAAAAAAAAAAAATATATATTGAACGCATTTGCTCAAGTGTTCATTGCTGAGTCATAATGACAGCGTTGTCTCCGCAGGGGAAGCGGCTCTGCGCTGCGGTCTCGGCGAGAAAGAAGATAAATTGGGAAGCTTCACCAAGAAGGCCATGCACATCCAGTTAGACAGGTACATTGGCCCCAATTAGAGCTGCAGTAATTATTCGACTTAAAACGCCCCCATTCCGCGTAGGTAGTTTTCACACAGAACAAACAGGTGACTGTCAATCAGAACTAACTCACAGAAGCAGGATGGTGGCTGTATGAAAGGGAACATTGCAAAGCCAGGACTTGGCCACGAAACGTAACGCCAGAGCCGCAGTTGAAGTGTGAATTCCCAACTTCTGAGGTCGCAACGGAGGCAGTGCACTTCCTTTCGATGGAAGTTAGTCTATGGGTGTTGATTTTTGTAACCCAGTCCTGTCTTTTTTTTTTTTTTTTGGTCATCCCTTTTACGCAACTGCTGTCCCGCCTCCTTTACAACCTCTTTGGTACAGTGAAACTCCTCTACAACGAAATCATGTTTGCAGCAAGAAATTTTTCACAACAGGGGGTTTTTCACTGAAGCAAATTTTATCTCAGATGTAAACACACACACACACGCACACAATGTGTACTCTTTATTACAATAGGGCATAAATATGAGCATACACTTATTTGACACTTCATATAGTCAGTGTAGAAAGAAAAAAAGGGAAAGAAATTGCGAAATTTACGATCAGCATTCACTTTCACTTCCATCAATTTCTTGGATGATGTCTTTTATTTTGCTTTCTCCGTCTTTCATTTTGATCACTTTTACCCTCTCTTCCAGCGTCAGAGCTCTTCTTGTCTTAGCTGCTTGACATCCAAATGTCCGTTTTGTAGCCATTTTAGCAATGCAACGTTCTTGCTGCTTCTGAAACTAACAATAACAAATACTTCCTGGACTACTGCGCATATGTAAACCAGTGTGGTGGTTGCTGTTGCCGTTTCCGAACGAAGCAGTAGAGGTCACTGTTGGATTAGACTTCGTTGGAGTGAATCTCGTCGCGAGGCAAGAGCAGAGAAAAAGATTTCGTATAACGCAACAGGGTTTTTTTTTCGTTGTATGGGGGGCAGGAAGGTGGGAATGGTGTTAATGCATGAAGATTTTTTCACACTAGGGGGTATTTTCGCCCATGTAGGTTTCGTTGTAGAGGAGTTTCACTGTAGCATCAAAGATGGGACGGTGGCCATGTGAATAAGGGAATCGCGGAATGCCAGGATGGGGTTGTTATCTGCCAACAGTCGTCTTCTGCCCTGGCAATTTCCCAACTTTTTCGGAAGCATCAACTGCCCCCCAAATTTAAGATTTGTTTGTGCCGCTGCTGTCGTATTGAAAGTAACTTACCTATTTGATCATTATTATAACAAGATACTGTAACTTTACTTAACTGTGCCAACGGCGCGCTTGCGTTGCAGCCTGCCAGAGGTTCCGGCTCTGGTGGACGTCCCGTGCGTGTCGGCTCAGTTCGACGACTCCCTGCTGGTTCTGTTGCGTGAGCGCGCGTGCCGCCATGGCTCGGTGGCCTCGCACCCGCCCGTCCTCATTGAGGAACTGCAGGAGAGACCCGGGAGCATCTTGGTGCGCTGGTGTAAGGTGAGCTTGCAGTGGGGGGCTCCCATACCCTCTGGCACTGCAGCAATTTCGGAGTTTTAATCACTCTTTTGTCATTTTTACGATGAAAAACACGTGGGTAGTCTTAGAGCATTATTTAAAAAGTTGTTTGTTTTGGGCACTTGGTGGTTTTTAGGTGGACGAGGACTTTGCTGCCGCAGATTACCGGCTGCAGTACCGGCGCTCGGGCAGTGGGGGGAGCCAGTATGAGGATGCCTACGTGGGGCATGACACAGACTTCCTGGCGCTGGGCCTGGACCCTAACACCGACTACATGTTCAGGGTGTGCGCCCGGGGTGAGGGCCGCACTGAGTGGAGTCCCTGGAGCGTCGCCCAGACAGGATACACCACCATGGAGCCGCATGGTACGTGCGCTGGACAGGCTCTGGGTCGGGCACGCCTCTGTCTGTCTGTTTGGTTGCGTTTTGTTTCTGCTCTAGGAGTGCGTATGTATCTGAGTTGCTGGTGCATGTCTGTTTGTATCCTTGTCTGGGATAGTGACGTCACGCATGCGCCATGTTACGTTGAGACCACATTGAAAAATAACAAAAGACGAAGCAGAGATTTTTTTTTTCTTCCTCAATATGGAAATCTAGTCTCTATATTGAATTTTTGTCAGCTAAAGAAAATATGATGGTACATCCCACACTCTGCTGTTGACAAAGTGTTATCTAGCATCAAAAACACTACCAGGATGTTAAAAAAAAAGTAGCCATTGATGTTAAGTGAAATCCTATTTTTAAAAATCTGTTTAAATAATTATGTGTGTGTGTGTGTGTGTGTGTGTTATGTGTGCAGAGTGGCGTCCAGGCACGGAGGGTTACATCGTGAGTAGCAGACGTAACATCGCCTTGAGGAACGATTCTGTTCCGTCCGGCTGCCCTGTGCTTTACTCCAATGCGCCCACCTACTTCTGTGGCCTCACGCTTACCTTCAAGTATGCGCACACACACACACACACACACACACACACACACACACAGATATATGTAAGAGTTTTTGTCACTTGAAGGATTTCAGCCACCGGTAAGCCTGACCGCCGGGACAGTTTGGGCGTGTGCGTGGACGGAGAAAAAAGCTGCCGCTCGCTTCAGAGAGATCAAGCCGTCTGCATCTCCACCAATGGTACCAAATTCAGCACTTTGAATTCCTAACAACAGTTTCGTCCACCAATATGTCACTTGCATCATTCAAATGTTGCTCTAACAAATGACCTCGAATGAGCAGAACGTGTTGAAGATGGAATGGTTTGAATTTGTCAAAAAATGTAGAAGGTGGAGGGAGAACAAAAGAAAAAAAAATCTATCTATAATTTTTTTTTTTAGATTTTATTTTGAAATTTTGACCAGTGAACAGTGTAAATTGAAACATTTCAAATTGGTGAAGTCGTTTTTTTTTTGTTTTTTTTTTTAAAGGAATAAGAGTTTGAATTGGTTATAAAATGTAGAAATTAGATGATAATTTCCATTTTGATTGGGAATGAATAGGTACATTTTTGAGGAATTTTAAGTTGTAAAAAATGTTAAATTTTTGGGTAAGGGGGAATTTTCGGCATGTTAAAAATCCTTCCCAAGGTGGATTGAATGAGGTGAATGTTTTGAATTTCAAATGGGAAAGCTATGTGCAATTGAGAATGATTCGCGATCATTTTCAAAGTGAGAATGTTGAATATTTTGTAAATGGTTATTTTTGTCATTTTTCCTCATGTTGAAAATTGTCCCTAGAATGAAATACATGAGCTGAATGTTGTTTTGAATTTTAAATGGGAGGAATAAGATTTCATTTGTTTAATTTTTAAGTTGATGGTGTAGAATAACGTACAGTATGTGCGAAGGCTTCACCCTTCACACAATAACTAGCTGTTGGAATATTGTGAAGATAATTACGAAGTATCTTGAATAACGTTGTTGGTTGACAGGCGCTGTGTACGTCAACGGTAAGGAGATGACCAATCAGCTTCCGTCGATCACGCTGGGTTCGGCTGTGACGTTCGACATGGAGGTGGTGGGCGTGGTCCCACTCAACAACGACCACGTCAGTGACAACGTCGGCAACAACGTGAGCAGCTTGAAGCTGCGGGTCACCATCGGCTCAGGCAGCCGCGAGGTGGTTTTCGATTGGCTGCTGGACACGGCCGTAGACGGCCTCTTCTTCGGGTGCGCCTTCGCGCATGCCGGCTGGAAGGTGCTCGTCTTTTAATGGACAATACAGGACATAAACGATGCATTGACACCTCCCAAGTTCCGGGAACTTTTAGTTCGTGTTACTTCCTGGATTAAGGAGCATTTACAATTACGTAAGGTTCCTGGATCTCTTGGAAATACTGCCGCCCCAAGTAGGTTTTTCTTTTGGACCCAAAACTTTCCTCAGTACTTAATAGTTCCTGCAGTCCAAACACACAATAGATGTTTATTTGGTTTTTTTTCCCGTTGAAGTTCCAGGAGCTTTTAGTTCTTACTGTTTATAAATCATGGAACCAACAGGTGCCAATCAGGTATGATGAACCCATTCCAAAGGCTCCTGAACCTCTCAAAACCTCATTAGCCCCCTGAAGCCATTTTGTAGGACTCGTATACATTAGTTGGTTATTGTTTACAATCACTCACAATGGCGTCCTCATGCCTTTTTTTTTTCCAAATAGATGACAATTACTCACCTTCCTGGAAATTGCGTGAATCGAGAAAGACTGAACACCTGACAATTTTCATTTTTTCAAAAATCTTTGATACTGTGAAACTTTCGAGTTTTTTAGTTGTGCACGTGTCGGCGTGATCATCTAGTGTGACATCATAGTGTGTAAGGTGCCAATAAATGAGGGGGCCCACAAACTTTTTGTGGGTACTACAAACTACAGGGTGGCAAAAAAACGTGATGGCAAATTCTGGAAAAAAGTCCCGTAAAACATGGAGACAATCTTTCGGACTTATTATTTTTTTTCAGTCAATCCTACTTACTGGTGTGGTTGATTGACCTTGTGGGGAATTGTAGACTAGGCTCGCTTCAGGTACAAAGTTCTCTCAGAAGCTTGCCTTGTGTGATCTTAAGTGTCTTAAAAAAAAAAAGATTGATGTTGTATTTTTTACTAATATTCTAGATGACTGTTGTTCTATGGAGGATATGTTGCCAAAAGGAGTTAGTATTTGCTGATGTTTTACACAAGCTTATAATCACACGTGTCTTTGTTTTGTTCACCCGGTGAAGGATGAAGGCACCCTTAACTGTGGAGCCACAAAATGTTAATATTCTTTTGTTTGAAAAGAAATGTTAAAGATTTGTGTCCTTAAATAATAAACCATTCACAAAGATTTTCTGTCCTTCTGGTACAGTAATTACTTTTATGACTGTATATGCCCACCAAAACTCTGGTTTATCCCGCGAGACTTTTGTATTTTAGCATCCGGCATCACAAGTGGTCCTTTTTTTGGGCTAGTCCTTGCAATAATTCGGTCAAGATGGAGGGTTATGCCTCTGTAATTTCCATGGAAATGCGACCAACTAAACCAGGGGTGCCCAACCTTTATCGATCCTAAATCTATTTTACCTGAGTGGGATAGCTGGCACGGTCCCACTTCAGCAGCGTGTTAAATGTTAGGAACACTACTATCGTAGCTCACATGTACCGTTTGAAAATGCTTCTATTGGCGTTTCATATTCCCATTCTTTACCAGTGCCATCAGTGAATTGCTGGGGAAACAAACTTAATGTGAATAATAAAACCAAATAAATATATCGAACAATTCTGATACAATAGCAAAATGCAGCTTGCTAACGGCTAACAATTTCCGGTGATGGAGGTCACGCGCCACCGTAGGTTAAGCCTGTTTAAAAAAAAAAACAAACACGTAACTTTTTTTTTTTTGTCAAAGTGAAACTGATAAGGTGCACTGTACACTATCACAAAAATAAACAATACAAATTACACGCACACAGAAAAACAACCCCCCCCCCCCTACTTCCCACTACAACCCCCGCGATTGACTTGGACCAGTCCGCCTGCTACCGGTCGATCGCGATCGACACGTCGAAACTAATCCCAAAATGAATACTGTAATTAATTAAATGATCGACCCCACCACCAAAGACAAAAAAAAAAAACAAAAAACTGTAATTTGGGGTTGGAAAGAATGTCTTAGGCTGTACTAAAATACAAAAAAAAAATTATGTAGTACGTTCAGTATACTGTAAAGTATTATGAACATTCACCAGTTAAATGTGGAATTCTTTCACAACAATTCTTCTCTACTGCTTTTGTATTTTTACTAAATTAAGCATTTCAAAGCTGTACACATTTTGAAAATATATTTTATATTCTTAGAAATTTCAGTGAGAAAGACTTGGAATTGTAAAAATGTGCTCTTTTTAATAGAAAATCATAAGTTGAAAGCAGGCTGCTGGTACATTTTCGTTGTCCAGCTGCTGTGACATCAGTCCCAAAAAAAAAAAAAAAAAAAGTTTCGTCCCAAACTGAGCTAACAAATGCATGGTGTCAAAGGAATCCAGTTTTGGTTATTGAATTGTAACGTGGACAACAACAAAAAGTATCAAAGGTGGACTTTTATGAAACAATGCACATCAGATTGTTTTTTTTCCTCTGTGGAAAATAATGATTGGATCAGCAGGAAAAAAAAAAAAACAAGCAAATAAAGTCTTTTATTTTAATAACACGGGGTATGGGGTCTTGCCCCCTGCTGGGTTCTGGAAGAATGCAACGTTAAGGCACTTCTCCTCTATGCTGGCTTCACTTGTTCATTTTAGACTTTCATTTTCCAGTGATGACTCAAACTACAGATTCAATGTTAACGTTTGGCAAAAGGCAACATTGGCTCAGAGGGAACAAGGCAGATTCTGGATCAGGTCTTTAAGAGAGAAAAAAAGTAGCACCATTGAAGGAAACATTATGTGACGAGCCCGGCAGAAGAATAAGATGATCTCTGATGTCCTGACGTTTTCAGGAGATGTTACACCCGGATCTGACATCTGACCCTCAAATGGAACCTGCAGTCCTCTTTGGTGGATCCAAGTGTTGCAGGTCTTGGACCAAGTCCTAAAGTTTTGGGATAACAACCTGGAAAATCTGATCCAGATTTATTCGATCTCAAGATCCTAAAATTCAAAGGCTGGCTGAATGATCCAAACAAAAAATCCGCTTTGAGTTTCTGTAAAGGTACCTAGTTGCCCTACAGTGGGTGAATGGTCTGTTTCACACTGATACGCACCGTTAGGAACATTAACAAAGTCCCTCGTTTTTTAGATGAAAAAAAAATGTTTTGGTGACTCGTTGACCCAGAAAAAAATCCAGTTTGGAGTTCTGCAAGTTTGTCTCGCTGTCAGGAACATGGACGACATTTTGGATGTTAATGGGTAACAAGAAGATAAACGACATCCAGGTGTTTGTCGAATGTTCCAACCGAAAAGTCTACTTTGGGTTTCTGCGAAGGTTTTGTGGTCACTCCACCATCAGTGGTCAAACTCGACCTAAAATAAAGTCCTCAAGTATTGGCAAGACAAAGAAAGCATGAAGTGCTAGTGTCTTCTTCATCCAGAATCAAGCTTAGAGTCCTACAAGTTCAAAAATGTTCCTTGATGTTGCAAACAAATAAGTCTTGTTTTGGATTCTGGAAAGGTATCTGGTCACCATTTTACTGTCAGGAATGTGGACAGTGTTCTCAAGCCCAGGGCTAAAAAGGAAAAAAAAAATGAAATGGTGGTGTCTTTTTGGATCCAGAATCAGTTTTAGGATAGCAAAGAGAAAAAAAGCTAATTTTCTGGGCTCCAGAATTTTTCAGTCTTCACATCCCAAAAAGTCACAAAAGTGGAGTTTCCAAACCCAAAGTTCAGTTTGGGGTTTTTCATGACAAGGACAGGAAAAATAAAGGTCTGGTCTAACCTACATCCAGACTCAATCTGTGAGTGCTAAAAGTTGTCTTAACTCTTCAAACAAAAAGTCTAGTGTGGGTTTTCTGGTCACCCCGCACTGATTGAATCATTCATATTAATACCCAACAATGGAACAAAAAACAAAAAAGATCTTCAAGTTTTGAGGTAACAAAGAAAACAATATTCTGGTTTCTCTGTGATTCCGAATTCTTTTGTCCTCAAGACCTGAACGTCCCAAAAACTTGATTGAAGGTTTAAAACTCCAAAGTCCATTTTGGGGTTTCTTCTAACATGGACAAAGTCAACAAGTTCTAACAAACAAGAAAACACGCCGTTCTGCTGTCTTCTTGATCCAAAATCGGTCTCTTGAGTCCAACATTCGGCTTAAGGGTTGCCACAACTGGTTGCCCGGCCAACAGTGGTCAGTCTGGAACATGGGCAAAATCCCAAGAAACTGAAAAACATGCTGTTCTGGTGTTTGTACTATCTGGAATTATTCAGTCTTAAAGACTTCAAAGTCCCAAAAGTTGGTGGAAGGTTCCCAAAGTCTCGTTTGGCGTTTCTGGTTGCGCTTCCAACAAAAGTCGGTAAGGAACATAGTTCTCAAGATTTAGGATAATTTGGGAAACAAGGCTACTCTGGTGTCTCTGTGCTCCAGAATTGCCAAGTCTTGATGGCCAAAATCACCACGATGGCTCCAAAGATAAAGTTCTGCTGGAGTCCTTCCACTGGTCAGTTCAAAACTCTACTCTGACTCTCCTGCCATCTATTCGGGTCTTCAGACTCCGACGGCTCCTGGTCCGTCTCCATCTGAAACTCCTCCGCCGTCTCCCATTCGTCTTCCTCCTCCGCCTCGTCTTCCTCCGCCGGTTGTTTGTCCCCGTGCGCGGCGGCCTCAAGTCGGGCCATGGCCTGGTCGATGGTTCGGGTGTTGACCAGGTTGAAGTCGTGCATGCTGACCAGGTGCAGCAGGAAGTTGCGGCGCAGGTTTTGCCGAACGAGGTGAGCGCAGTGGAGCTCGGTGAAGAGCAGGCACGCCTCGTTCATCTGGTGGTCGGCGATGAAGCTGCGGGCGAAGATCGTCGTGAGTATGCTCGGAAGAGACGGTGGCAAGCAGAGCAGCTTCATGCTAACTTGCGGACAAACCCGTGTTTCATGACGTGAAGGTTCCACAGCTTCATGATCTCCTTCTCGCCTTCATTCACATCCGTGAAGTCTTCGATTTGCTGCGGGTGTGCCCCAGAAAAGAAAAGGAATATCAACGGACACAATCATCGTTGTCCAGCTGCTGTGACATCAGTCCCAAAAAAAAAAAAAAAAAAAGTTTCGTCCCAAACTGAGCTAACAAATGCATGGTGTCAAAGGAATCCAGTTTTGGTTATTGAATTGTAACGTGGACAACAACAAAAAGTATCAAAGGTGGACTTTTATGAAACAATGCACATCAGATTGTTTTTTTTCCTCTGTGGAAAATAATGATTGGATCAGCAGGAAAAAAAAAAAAACAAGCAAATAAAGTCTTTTATTTTAATAACACGGGGTATGGGGTCTTGCCCCCTGCTGGGTTCTGGAAGAATGCAACGTTAAGGCACTTCTCCTCTATGCTGGCTTCACTTGTTCATTTTAGACTTTCATTTTCCAGTGATGACTCAAACTACAGATTCAATGTTAACGTTTGGCAAAAGGCAACATTGGCTCAGAGGGAACAAGGCAGATTCTGGATCAGGTCTTTAAGAGAGAAAAAAAGTAGCACCATTGAAGGAAACATTATGTGACGAGCCCGGCAGAAGAATAAGATGATCTCTGATGTCCTGACGTTTTCAGGAGATGTTACACCCGGATCTGACATCTGACCCTCAAATGGAACCTGCAGTCCTCTTTGGTGGATCCAAGTGTTGCAGGTCTTGGACCAAGTCCTAAAGTTTTGGGATAACAACCTGGAAAATCTGATCCAGATTTATTCGATCTCAAGATCCTAAAATTCAAAGGCTGGCTGAATGATCCAAACAAAAAATCCGCTTTGAGTTTCTGTAAAGGTACCTAGTTGCCCTACAGTGGGTGAATGGTCTGTTTCACACTGATACGCACCGTTAGGAACATTAACAAAGTCCCTCGTTTTTTAGATGAAAAAAAAATGTTTTGGTGACTCGTTGACCCAGAAAAAAATCCAGTTTGGAGTTCTGCAAGTTTGTCTCGCTGTCAGGAACATGGACGACATTTTGGATGTTAATGGGTAACAAGAAGATAAACGACATCCAGGTGTTTGTCGAATGTTCCAACCGAAAAGTCTACTTTGGGTTTCTGCGAAGGTTTTGTGGTCACTCCACCATCAGTGGTCAAACTCGACCTAAAATAAAGTCCTCAAGTATTGGCAAGACAAAGAAAGCATGAAGTGCTAGTGTCTTCTTCATCCAGAATCAAGCTTAGAGTCCTACAAGTTCAAAAATGTTCCTTGATGTTGCAAACAAATAAGTCTTGTTTTGGATTCTGGAAAGGTATCTGGTCACCATTTTACTGTCAGGAATGTGGACAGTGTTCTCAAGCCCAGGGCTAAAAAGGAAAAAAAAAATGAAATGGTGGTGTCTTTTTGGATCCAGAATCAGTTTTAGGATAGCAAAGAGAAAAAAAGCTAATTTTCTGGGCTCCAGAATTTTTCAGTCTTCACATCCCAAAAAGTCACAAAAGTGGAGTTTCCAAACCCAAAGTTCAGTTTGGGGTTTTTCATGACAAGGACAGGAAAAATAAAGGTCTGGTCTAACCTACATCCAGACTCAATCTGTGAGTGCTAAAAGTTGTCTTAACTCTTCAAACAAAAAGTCTAGTGTGGGTTTTCTGGTCACCCCGCACTGATTGAATCATTCATATTAATACCCAACAATGGAACAAAAAACAAAAAAGATCTTCAAGTTTTGAGGTAACAAAGAAAACAATATTCTGGTTTCTCTGTGATTCCGAATTCTTTTGTCCTCAAGACCTGAACGTCCCAAAAACTTGATTGAAGGTTTAAAACTCCAAAGTCCATTTTGGGGTTTCTTCTAACATGGACAAAGTCAACAAGTTCTAACAAACAAGAAAACACGCCGTTCTGCTGTCTTCTTGATCCAAAATCGGTCTCTTGAGTCCAACATTCGGCTTAAGGGTTGCCACAACTGGTTGCCCGGCCAACAGTGGTCAGTCTGGAACATGGGCAAAATCCCAAGAAACTGAAAAACATGCTGTTCTGGTGTTTGTACTATCTGGAATTATTCAGTCTTAAAGACTTCAAAGTCCCAAAAGTTGGTGGAAGGTTCCCAAAGTCTCGTTTGGCGTTTCTGGTTGCGCTTCCAACAAAAGTCGGTAAGGAACATAGTTCTCAAGATTTAGGATAATTTGGGAAACAAGGCTACTCTGGTGTCTCTGTGCTCCAGAATTGCCAAGTCTTGATGGCCAAAATCACCACGATGGCTCCAAAGATAAAGTTCTGCTGGAGTCCTTCCACTGGTCAGTTCAAAACTCTACTCTGACTCTCCTGCCATCTATTCGGGTCTTCAGACTCCGACGGCTCCTGGTCCGTCTCCATCTGAAACTCCTCCGCCGTCTCCCATTCGTCTTCCTCCTCCGCCTCGTCTTCCTCCGCCGGTTGTTTGTCCCCGTGCGCGGCGGCCTCAAGTCGGGCCATGGCCTGGTCGATGGTTCGGGTGTTGACCAGGTTGAAGTCGTGCATGCTGACCAGGTGCAGCAGGAAGTTGCGGCGCAGGTTTTGCCGAACGAGGTGAGCGCAGTGGAGCTCGGTGAAGAGCAGGCACGCCTCGTTCATCTGGTGGTCGGCGATGAAGCTGCGGGCGAAGATCGTCGTGAGTATGCTCGGAAGAGACGGTGGCAAGCAGAGCAGCTTCATGCTAACTTGCGGACAAACCCGTGTTTCATGACGTGAAGGTTCCACAGCTTCATGATCTCCTTCTCGCCTTCATTCACATCCGTGAAGTCTTCGATTTGCTGCGGGTGTGCCCCAGAAAAGAAAAGGAATATCAACGGACACAATCATGTCAAAAAAATAAAATAAAATGCCTCCATCTATTGAGTAGCGCAATTCATCAAAAGCAACTACTTCATGGTCAACTCAAGATGCCTAAATGGGCTGCCTGAGAAATCGAGGAAATGTGACAAGCAAAAATTGGTCTGAGATATTCAAATTAGGAAAGTAAAATATGAATTGTTCATTTTCCAGATGTCGGGTAAATGAAATTAGTTCCAATTCACCACGCTCGTGCCAAGCATTAAATCATGGAAAGGAATACGCAAAATTTTTTGGGGGGTGAAAACCACACAGTACCTGCAAATTTGGAGTTGTTTTTGTTTGTATCGGAAAATCTGCTACTATGCATGCACGTAAGCAGGTAACACCAATTTTTGTTCGTTTATCTGGAAAAAAAAAATTTTTTTTGTTAAATTTTAAGTTTTTCCTCTGTTTGAAAACAAACAAAAATTTTCCAGCCAGATTAACAAAATAAAATAACTCACAATGTTTCTCCTAAAACATTTTGGGAGATCTACGGTTTATTTAAGTCACACATTTTTGTTGACAACAAGATACTTTTTTCCAGATTAAAAAAAAAAAATGGGATAGACAATTTTATCAGAAAATTTGTATTAACATTTTTTCTAGATGAAACAAAAAAATACTAAAAATCATTTAGAGACAAATGCCCTCATGTTTTTTTTTTTTTTTTTTAAATGGGGTTATAAAAATTTCGAGAGGCAGGCTTTGAACTAATCTACATTTCCCCGACAAAAGTACAATAACGTTATACAGCAACACTACCTGAGGTGCGACCTCAGCTTTCTTTCATTCAAACAACATCCAGCGCGCTTGCTTGAAATGTCGGTTGCGTAAACGAACCTTGGCGGTCTTCTCTTTGAGCCAGTCGGGGTCCCTCTCGTCCTCGCTGTCCACGTCCATCTCCTGCGGTGGTCTGGGCACGCAGCTGTCGCTTCTGAAGTAGAGTCGGTTAAGTCCGCCCACGTATGACCTGAGACGCTGGCGCTCGCCGTCCTCGCACTCCAAGAACTCGGACAGACTTGGCTTGCTGCGCTTGGGCCTGGATGGATGACACAGATTTGCAACAATTCCTGTCATGTGCGCGCGTGCGCGTGTCTTTTCAAATACACAAGAAACATCTTTGTCTTGTTTGTACCTGCAGACCAGGACGTGAGTGACGGCCGCCCTCTTGACGGGTCCGTTGCGGCTGAAGGCGAATCCGGGCTGGCCGTGGACGTCCTGAGGGTTCCCCGCGTACGAGCCGTCGTAGCTCTCGTTGATGGAGACCTCGATCTTGGCTCCCTTGGGGTGAGGCTGCGCATTGACGGACGGTTAGCCCTTTCCCTTCCGCGACATCCTTTGATTTACCGGGGGCGTGGCGTCCACTCACCACATAGTTGAAGACGAAGCGCGGATGTGACAGTTTGAGGTGTTTGAGCAAACTGTACAGCTTCCTGCAGTTCAGGGTGCACCAAGGACAGTGAAGGTCATCTCTGGCCTCGGTCTGCTGCCGACTGTTGTTGTTGTACTGGAACTACGCGCAAAGCGCATATGGTGGCGAGTAGTTTAGATGTTGTTTACCCAGTAGCGGATGTAGTTTTAGTTGTACCGTATTGGCCCGAATATAAGACGGTGTTTTTTTGATTTGAAATAAGACTAAAAAAGTGGGGGGTCGTCTTATATTCGGGGTCTAGACATTATACCCATTCACGACGCTAGATGGCGCCAGATACCATTGACACGAATGCTGAATTTGACTCCCCAGGCCAAAGCGAACCCCTGTCACGAAGAATAAAAATAAAAATGGCGGTAGCACGAAGAAGAAAAATAAAAAAATAGCGGTAAGAAAGAAAAGAGAAGAAAATAATAGAAGAGACAACAGAAAATGGAGAAACATAGCGACAATCTGGAGAAAAGTTGGGTCGAAGATCGGCCAGGTTAACCGGCAGCTGAGGAGAAGTTATGATGTCATTTACATTTTAAAAACCAGAAGCCATTCATTTACGAATGTGATTGCACTTTAGTTTACATATTTGAATGTTCAGATATTAAGATTTGAATAAGGCAAAATAACATGCTTTTTCTCTCAAATATATTGTTATCATTTGTTTCAGATGTACTGTAATTATTTTCTGTATAAAAATTAATTTGGTGTTCAAAAAGTCTTTTTTCAAACTTGAATCTTGAAAAAGAGGGGGTCATCTTATAATCAGGGCCGTCTTATATTCGGGCCAATACGGTATTTTTACCTGGTTGAAGGTGATTCGGACTAGTCCTTGACCCGATATTTATCTGTTGTTTACCTGGTAGAAAATGCGTAGTTTGGGTCGAGGTTCTGCTGGGACGTGTTCTCTGGCTCTGGTGTGGACTTTGTCTGAGTTGATGGTTTCTTTCACAGCTGCGTGCAAAGGCTTGCGGTCAGTCGGTCCTGAACCTTCTGCAGCCTGCCTCACTGTGTTCATGTCTTGAGGGTCTCACCGTGGGTGGCGTGTGCCGCGTTCCTCAACGCGTGTACCGCTTTACTTTCGCGATTGGCATCCGAGTTGCGCGTTGCCAAAGGTTTGGCCACGGGAGCCGTGGAACCGTCGCAGACTTCGCTGGTCCAACGCAGAGTGAAGCGAAGAGTCGGGCCGTCACAGAACGCCTTCAGTGGAGGCATGTGCTACGCGCATGCGTGCAAACACACACACACACACACACACACACACACACACACACACACACACACACACACACACACACCCCTCAAAACATTTAAAAACAATCACATCTACACACAGACACTCAGCTTCTTTACCTTTGTGTCCAATATCGTCTCCCAAGTTGCTCTCATGTTGTTTAGAGGACATTGCTGTGTTAATTCTTGCATTGAAACTTCGTAGTCGCCGTCCAGCAGTTGCAGGCGTCTGAAAACACAGACCATACATGACATTGTGTTGACATATTCATGCGTGAGATATCCATCAACATGTTGTGCATCACCTGTTTTTATCAAAGACTGTCATCTGTGCCACCAGCGTGTTTTCTCCGTCCTCCCTGAGGGGGGAGCTCCGCCTCTTCTTGTCAATCACCTCCTCGGATAACTCTGGATTTGGAAAATAATTCGGGACAACTTTCTTCTCACTCAACTCTTGTGTACATTGGAGGGGGGGGGGTATTTTTAAATGAAAATTATAATTTGTATTTGAATGATGAAAAATGATAAAAATGGAAATTGGATTTTCAAAAACAGCAGACACACAAAAAAAGATTTTTGAGGAAATGTCTTTGTTAAAATCTTAAATAGTGCGGCACAGTGTTCAAGTGGTTATCGCGTACACCTCACAGGGCAGAGGTTCAGGGTTCGATTAGTGGCTCTGGCCTTCCTGTGTGGAGTTTGCATATTCACCCCGGGCCTGCGTGGGTTTTCTCTGGGTACTCTGGTTTCATCCCTCATTCTAAAAACATGCATGGAAGGTGAACGGAACACTCTAAATTGTCCCAAGGTGTGACTGTGAGTGTGAATGGCTGTTTGTTTTTGTGTGCCCTGCGATTGGCTGGCAACCAGTTCGGGGTGTGCCTCGCCTACTGCCTGTAGACAGCTGGGATAGGCTCTAGCACGCCCCGCAACCCTTGTGTGCATAAAGCGGAATCCGAAAATGGATGGATGGAAAATATCAACTATTTTAAGAGAAAAAAAAACATATCTTTGACAACAAAGATAAAACTCGTTTTGAATGCCATATGGACGTTTCCCTGCTGACCTGTGTGATGGTGCGCCTCTCCATTTGCAAGTCCGTTGAGGGGCAGCCTGTGGTCATATGCGGGCTGCCACACTCTGAAAAGCAGCGAGTAGGACTTGACCGTGTACGAGTTGCTGGTTTCAAACTCGCTGCTCGGGACGAGCAGGGACGGAAAGCTTCCGAAATGTCCTGCACCGCTGGGAGAAGTCAAGTCGGGATTGAGAGGAACCTGCTTCTTCCCGGCTGGAACCTGCTTGACCGGACAGCTCACATCCTGGATGGGAAGAACCACACTCATGTCAATCAAGCCTCACATTCATTAAAAAAAAAAAGTGTAACATATGCTTTGGAAACGTAATTAAATACTTTGACTTCATTGGTTGACTGCTTGATGACATCATCTCGCCTCACCTTCCTCTTCTTGTGACAGACTTTGACCAGGAGGACTTCCAGGGACACGGAGGTCTGCTCATTCTCGCAATCCTGGGACGGTTGCCCTGACGACAACAAAAAGCAACAAGTCAACTAAAGAGCTGACGGGAACGAGAGCAAATGCGACGCAAACGTACCCGATTTGTGGAAGAAGCCGGTGAAGGTGAGCTGCAGATTGGACGCCAAGCTGGTGAGAAAGCCACACCGAATTGCACATATTAACAGGTCGAGAGAATTCAGCGTAAACCACATAAAGTAAGCCTGCTAGCTTAAGCCTAACACATCATGGAAAATGACATAGACGGGCTAACAAATAGTTTCGACAAACTTTTCTGATCGTGTCTGGATAACTGCATTATACTGCTCCCCAGTAGCCAAGTTGTGTACAGCAAAAGCTATGATGCACAGACTGTTTAATTTTTTAGATACAAAGGAGTGATGCTGTATTATGTTTTAATAAAGTAAAATATGAGAGTGCTATGTCCCTTTTGCATTACATTTTTTGGAGGGGTGTGGGGTGGTAATGGCATTCCCATTCATTTCAGTGAGGAAAGAGAATTTCAGATACTCGTGTTTTGAGTTAAGACTATGGTCAGGGAATTAATTCAACTCAAATCTAAAGGCACCACTGTTTCGGTAATTTCTTAATAATAAATGAACCAATTTGTTTGCAAAAAATATGTGAAATATTTTTAACTCATACTTTATTTACAACAAATCAATTAACAGATTTAAAAATACATATTTTCATTATAAAACTTCCATTAACTAATAAACAGGAAAAACTGAGAAATTAACAGCAAGTAAAAATGTGTATGTAAATTCGTTTATTTTTACTTTAATTCTGTATTTTTACTTAACAGTCAGTTACAGTCTGCTTGCATCGGGGCCTAGTCGTGCAGTGACCAACCACAGCCAGCAGATAGAGCCGCAGTGGAAAGTACATAAGTCAGGCTGGTTGTGCCTTGGTGGAGGTCAAGTCAAGTCAAGTACAACTTTATTGTCAAATGCGCTGTATAGCGCAGATGAAATTTCTTCCCTCTCAACCAGACAACAAGAGGAGCCGTTGCGGGTGCCCGCGCCGCCATCAAAAGTACAGTTAGCATAAAATGACAAAATAATACAACACAATCTCATCTCACCCGTGCATTTCCTGGTCTCCTTGCATCTTTTCCACTCGGAAGAGCAGATTGTCCACCTTGGAACTTTTCCTGGGCAAACAAACGACACATGTTAGCAAAAACAACATAAACAGTTGGAGATCTCCGCCAATGTCTGCCTTGTTGTGACGGAGACATATTTTTTGCCAAAAAGCAAATATAATAATAAGAATAATAATACCCAAGTACAAACATCTTTCAAAATGGACACATACAGATACACGTGTTTTCCGAATCTATTCTGAGAAATAAATGGTGAAGAAGTGACACAATGCGATGACAACAGGAGCTGTACAGGTTGTAGTACAGTGTGAAATGTCAACAGTGCTGGTCATACACTATTATTATACGGAGAGAAAAATGCATGCACACATTTGCACATTACTGTTGTATTTTTTTTAAAGGCTATCAGTATGTTTTGCAATGTTCAGTTGCATTCGGTTTCATTTTCAAACACTTAACTAGCGGATTTGTATGCGAGCCAAAAGCTGCCTGTGGAGATAAGTGAAAACACCTGTGGAGGCCCTATTGTGGCTTTAGGACATGTGAACCACTCATATAATAGCACAATGAGTCAGAAAACATTTTTGCGTGGTAGGTGTCTAGATTTTGTGCTTTCACAGACATCTACAGTATTCGCATGCAGCAGGAAGTGGAAGTGAACCGCTGCTGGCTGACAAAGAAGAACTTTCTAAGTGAACCACTGAGCTCAATTGTCAGAGGATGAACCGTCGGTCTGTGTGACTAAATAATCAGTCCAAATGAACATGGGATAACGGCATTAAAAAAACAAAACAAAAAAACAGTTGATTTTCTGTCACATAAAAAGGAAAATAACCACTAAAGCAACATACTTTTGGAGGTTTCGTTACCTCTTGGCCTTTTTTCTCGAGTTCCTGTGCGACATGTAGGTGAGAGTCCTGTGCAGGAATATGGGCTACAATTGGAAAGAAAAAGGGCATATTGTTACAGTAATTCCATGTGAACACATTAGGAAATTAAACCTAAACAATATTTCAAGAAAACTCACAGCGATCAAGTTCCTAGTACGGAGGAACCTGTAGATTTGGGTCGGTTCTGCAACAACAACAGACATTCAGTCAAGAATCATCAACAGTTCCTTGTTGTTCATTAATACAACTGTCAATCAATGTCAACTTGGCTGCAATATTATGCAGTATTTCATAATTCTTTTGGACTTTATAGGGATGTTTTTAACAATGAAACTGATTAATGACTTTGTAATATGAACAGAAACGACACAGCTTGCTCAAATGCCCCAAAAAGGAAGCTCGACTCAAAATGATTGTACAAGAAGATACGATGGTGGAGGTAGGAAAATAAAGAACTTGGAGAGTTCAGTACAATCATTAGCTCTTCCATTTATGCAATGACCACTTCAACAAACCCGTTTAACGAATTAAATAACTTGTGAGGTTTGAATTTCGGAACTCACTTTCGAAGGCCTGCAGGAACAACTCGTGGTCGGCTTGGACGACCTGCATGTTGGGCTTCTTTGAGTCGGATGAGGAGGACGACGGCGGGTACAGTCCGTTCGCCCTCGCCCCGCCGGCGCCACCTGGGGTCACCGGGTGGCCTCCAGCCGAGGGGCCGTGCCTGTGTGGAGCCATCCACTGGAACCAGGCGAGCTTTTTGGGCGTTTGCTTGTCAGGAGAGATAGAAACTTGAGTAGGTTTTCTTTGTCAAAAAAAAAAGAGGAGCACCGTCTCGTGAAAAAGGCGACAGAGGAGATGTTGACAATTCAACGCAGCTGGGAGGGCAGGGGGTTAATTTATTATTTTTTAAATTCCATGTCCAAGCAAGGCTCCAGTGAGGCGCTTCAGCGCGTTGGCATTACAGAGGCCGGTCAAGAGATTCTAAATGCGGGAGAGGAAAGCAACCCGACGCCGCTGTTCAACAGCTAACTTCCTTAGCTTGACAAGCTAACCAGCACGAAGCGACTCTACGCCTTCGTAATAAAAAATAATAAACCAAAAAAGACGATTAAATAAAAACACGCATGCATTTGATGCACATTGAGGTTTAAATTCACAATTTCAAATTAATTCCTGTAAATTGTTGATTGACCGCCTTTTGCCAATCGTAGCATCGCATTTTTGGAGCAGATTATCCGGTTCATATTTTCGATACATTAAGATAAATACTGTCGACGCGCTATAGTGTGTGATTTTTTTTAATACCTAAAAACGTTTTTAATGTATGCAGCATAAATTATTAATTCATTTCTAGAAATCAAATTATAACTACTCGAATGGGGTGTTATGTAGCCAACCAATCAATTTTATTTTGGCGACCGATAAGTCTGTTTTGCTTTTCCGGTCATAATATGTCGCCCTTCACCAAAGTTGAAATAGATGCTTCACTTTTTATACGCATTGAAAGATTCCGCCTTTCGAGTGCTCGAGCCAATCACAGGGCTTATTTGTGAAACGCGACGGTTTGATTGGTGGGGGCGTTTGCCTTTTCACAAATATGAAAGCGGCCTTCAAGGTAATATCAGTTTCCTGACCGCATTGTAAGTTAATCCTATTTTTTACGGAGTTTTCTTGTGTTCAATTATATGTTTGAATACATTTTGAATAATTTTGAATACGTTTTAATGTGATTACAGTACGTGTGCATGAATACTTTAAAGCTTAAACTATCAACTGTTTTATTTTTTCGTCTACTTTCCCTCAAGAGTTTTAATTTTTATCGCATTTGTACTACTTGCATACATTATGTGCCTCTGAATTGTGTTAAAAACTTTTGCAATGTGTTTAATTAGGTTTAAACATTTACAGTATACCATAGCATGTGGGATAGTTTAAGGTTTAAGCCGTTTATATAAAATTCATATGGTCTCTCAACCATGGCTTTTTACATTAAAAAAGAAAACAACCTAATTCATCACTGATGAGCTTTTATTATTTGTACATATTCCCTTTCAAAGTGGCCATCCATGTTAGCAGTTTGTCAGAACATAATGCATTATTGCACTCCGCAGAAAAATCAAAGTTAAACAAAACAAAAAAAAGAAAAACAAAAATAGAAAATAGGTTGCAGCTTGACTAACTTGTTGATCAAATGCGAGCCAAGCTGCATTTCTAAACCATGATAAAATCTTCAAAATAACGCAACATTCCTTTCTTATCATGCCTGGAGGATGTGCAGAGACATAAAAAGAGCCAGAAAAACAATCAGTGCACTTCTTATCTCGGTATTGGCTTCGGAGCCTGGGCCAGCAAGTAGTCTGTTACAGAAGTGTAAATCAACATTTAACATACACAGAAACAACTTTGCTCCGTTCCATTGCCTTTTCGTGGTGGTGGCGCGTGCATGTCATCCCGTTCATTCTCATCAGTGCTTCCTCCACAGGATGTATGTCATAAGCAGGATGAGGCCTGCCGACAGCCCCGCGATGACAAACTGGTGTATGGAGAGCACGTTCTCCAACGTGTGGATCCTCTCCTCCATGGCGCTGGTGTGGAGGTAGTCGTAGATCCCCGCTGTGATGCTCCACAGCGCCCACACGGCGTCCAACACCAGCGGCATCGCGGACAGGCTCGGCGGTTACGCGGCGCCTCTGCAAATGACAAGTTCCCAAATCTGACAATTTCAACCCCAATTACAGTAGAAAATTAACTGCAACATCAGAGTGCCTTAAGATACAAGTTTGATTTGTTTCGTGACCACGGTCCTAACTAGAAACGTACGCTGCTTTCCTGGGTTCTGTGGGGAAAGTGCGGTGATTTCGCAGAGACTGTGTGGAAGAGGCCCTACGTGGTTGCATTTTTGCTTGCTAAGGATTATTATTATACGATGTAATGTCCTGTGTTTTTGTTGAGCGAGAAGTTGATGAAATCTTCGCTTCGCCTTCCAACATAGCGAAAAGCTAACCGGTTAGCCAACAACAAGCGACCACGGATCAAAACAAACGAACAAAAAACAAATATTACTCACCGCATCCGCCTACTCGAGTCCTGATTTTGCCGAGAATGTAACGCAGCCTCCCCACCGGCCGACGGGATGAGCGTCGGGCAGCGTACAAGACATCACAGGTGGTCGGGAGAAGGGGATACTTTTCTCCGGGCGGACATCACTTCGGTTCCGCGTCCAGAGCCGCTCCCACCCTACGTCATTCCATTTCCGGATATGTCATATGACATCAGTCCTCCTCCTCCAATGGCGACAAGCTAGCGCGAGGGCAAGCCGACGTGCTAACTACGATCGAAGCTTTCAGAGCCTGTCACTTAAAGGCAATTAAATAGCTCCAAATATCACCCGGTGAGACTTTTTACAAGTCATTTCCCGATTTGTATTCTTTATTGTCTCTTGTTTGAGTCCGACTTTGGATTATTTATGGGTTTTTATCCCGGCAGGATGAACACAACACCAGAAATATGAACGTTGTGTTCGCACTGAAGTCACAAACTCATTTTTTTGAACGGCAGTTCCGTTCCAGCATAAATTGAAACATATTACTCATTAAAAAGACTAGAACTGACCCTTACAGCACTACCAGGCGCGGTGGCCAAGTGGTAAGGCGTCGGTCTCGTAAACCGAAGATCGCGGGTTCGAACCCCGTCCGTGCCTTGGAGGTGGTGATTAACTAAACACTTTTTTAACGGAAAGTCACATTCTCTTGTGCTGATGAGCAACAAAAACTTAAAACAAAGACCGAAGTAGCTGAGATTTGAACAGCACACTGTTTTCCCCAATAAACTTTCAAAACCCGGGTGTTGCCCTCTTGAATTGATAAGAGCATGAAGAAAGCAATGACTCACAATGAGGCAGCACCTTGATTTTATCCACAGTCGACACGTCAGGTTTAATTCAAAGCTGACAATTGACAGCGGTCAATCACGATGCCCTTTTGCGGGTGTAGCGATTCGACATTTTGGACGGGCACTAGGACCCACAGGGACACTCGATACTTGATAAAACAGCGGACCAAAACATTGACGATGCCATCTTTAGGTTTTATAGCGAAACTGTCGTAATCGTTGACATATTTAATATGAATAAAACAGATTTTTACAAACAATGGACATCTTTCTCGCTTGAACACTGTTTTGGTCCATGTCATTCTTTGGGCTGTGTGTGTCATTGTTTCCAAGATTCGGCGAACTCGATTGGCACTAGGACCCTGAGTTGAAGGAAGTGAGCGAACGCTCGACCCTACCTACCAAGATGGCGGACCAAAACAAGGACGATGCTAACCCAAAGTTTTACAGCGAAGTATTAAGGTCCATTTTTTGTTTCATTAGCACATTTAAGTGAATTAAGTGGCAATTATATAGAGTTGTCGCTCGTTTTATATGAATGAATTTGGGCTGTTTCTGTATTTCTTTAATTCTACATTTTACACGTGGGTTGTAGTTTCATTGATGCTAGCAAAACCTGTCATACACACAGCGAACGATAATGTACAACACAACCAGAGTGAACATATACTGTATATTTATAGTAAGAATAATTTATTAACGGTTCAAGTTTTTTGTGTATGTCATCACGGGATGGTCACTCGTGGAAACATTTTGTTTTTAATTCCACAGAAACGTACCTCCACTTAGAGAACGTGAGCATGAAGTGTTTTCATAAAATTTAAAAACAGGTGCTGTAACTTCATATTCTATCTTCGTGATTATGATTTTTTTACAAACACAACTGCAGTGAAATTGGGACCATATGTTAAACATAATAAAAATAGAATACAATGGAATGTGTTGGACCCATAAAATTCTAAGTTATGATTATTTGCTCAATACAATAAAGTTTATAAATTTGAATATTAAATACCTTATATTCGTAGTGCATTCAATATAGGTTAAACATGGTGTGCAAATCATTGTATTCTGCAGTTATTTGTTTGACACGTCCCGGGTTTGTATAAATCGCATCAAAGCAATCTTAATTGCTGCGAATTGAGGAGCTAGTTTACAAGTCCGGGTGGATGACACGGCCTTATTTTCTAACCCCGTCCAGCTACAACTTCTCAATAAAGCAACAAGAGTTACATTCCACTGAAGACAGATGAGCGGATACATTTTCAGATGGTTTTGACAAGAAAGGAGTGAAACTTTTTACCTGAGATACGTACTTCAGAACCACAAATATCTACAAAATAGTACCTCACCTGTACAACTACACATGTGAAGAGTGTGACAGATCTTACTCTTGCATATGGACCAGCTGAGCTTTCTTAAATTGTTGAACATTATTAACTTATTAAGTAGCCAGTTCACATTTATTTTCACAATATGCCATGCATGAAAAGTTATTTTATTGCATTATTTCTGTGGAAGTAGATGATAGTTATTGCCAACAAAAACTTGCTGGACTCAAGCAAACGCGAGAAGGGCAAAAAACAAAATTTCTAAAAAAGAAAAAAAAGACGTGAAGGCTATTTCACCGAATGAAAATCAGATTTTTGCGAAAAAAAAGTTTAAGACAATTTCCAAATCTATATCAAGACAGCTCAACTTTAAATACTGCATGTTATTTCGTTTAAATGTTTCCATTCTCACATTTCAGCCCTTCTGAGCTGTTCTCGGCTCGTACCCGGAGCCACAAGATCCCGGTCCGCGGTCAGAAAGACTTCTACCCAGATGACTCTGAGGAGCAACGTTTGCGTCTGGAACAAAGCCTGAGCGAACACTGGAGCCTGGTATCGGAGGAACGAGTGGAGAGGCTGTGAGTGGACACGCGATCATGATGTTACCGTCATGCATGTGCGGCTTGCTTATGACGTTTTGTTTTTTTTGTTTTCCTTTGCAGCGGTAACCTGGTGAAGGCAGTGTGGATTCCAGATGACCAGATTGTGGAGCTTCGGTCTCCAGCGGTGAGTGTCTGAGCTTCATATCCTCCACCCCTTCTCATTCTTTTTTTTAAGTACCATTTGTAGAGGACAGCTCAAAAATATCAGCATTTACAGGCAGCGTGAAAGGGCCTTTTAATCTTTGACTTGTGTTTTGCAGGGGAAGTTCTGGCAAACGATGGGATTCTCCGCCAACGGCAAGCAGTACCTCCTCCCCGAAGAGGCGCTCTACCTGATGGAGTGTGTGAGTGGCAAATAAAGTCGCATGCACCCCTTTTTCACCACTCACGGTTGAACTTACTTTGCCGTTTTGTACCAGGGCAACGTGCAAGTGTTCTACCAAGACCTTCCACTCTCCATCCAGGACGGCTTTGAATGCTTTCTGTCTTCGAGTAGCGTGAGCCTGCAGCAGTATCAGGTGCAAGCAAAAGTGCTCTTAGTAACATTCTGGTCCTCCTCAAATGTTCAAATCAAAATGTAAACACTAAGGTTGCTGAAAACTGTCATATTTCCCTAGGAATTTTTTGGATTGCTGGTTTTATTGTTTGAATTCCAATTGTTGAGTTCTTATTGCCCCACCCCCAAAAAATCACAAGGAATTGTTTTCAATAGAACAAATAGGATGATGGCGCTTTGCGGTTTTTTGAGTCTTGGATATAAGATAAGCAACAAAATCAGGGTTTCTGCATTCATATTTTTTATGTACAATGCTGAGAAAACTGTACAAAAATGAACACTTCTAATTAATTCTCCCTGTTCCCTCACAAAAGGTGTTTGGGCATCTGAAGAGGCTCGGCTACGTGGTGCACAGGTTCGATGCCAGGTAACGGGGACGCGACGGTTGAGTGGTGAGGTCGTAGAAGCCATGACATCAGCATGTTTTTCTCTTGGGATTAGTTCGCAGCCGTCGTCCTACGCAAGGCAACTTAACTTGCCGCAGTCACGTGGCGCGAGGTCGCTGAAGAGGAAGCGCAGCGACAGCCTTGTCCCAACTTGCAGGTGTCAAAAATTAACAAAACAAATCGTTGTGTTTGGTTGAGATGTTTTTTTTTTTTTTGTTTTGTTTTTTCTTCAAACAGGTGCCCATTTAGGCAGCAAACTATTTGGTGTGAATGAACTGAACAGGCCCTCTGCTGCCTTTAGCTGACATTCAGTCCAATTGTTTTGAATGTTGTTTTTACAGCTGGCTCCTGCCTGCAAGCTAGTCGGGTCTGAAATAAATGTGCCTTTTGCTGGTTTTGAGTGATGTGTGTGCGTGCGTGCGTGCGTGTGTGTGAGACACACACTAAGAACAAACAACTTTTTAGCTGCCCACTTAGGCAGCAAGCTAGTATGGTCTAAATTATGTTTTGCTTTCTCATATCCAGCCACAGCGAAGCACACAAAGTGCCCGATGTGAAGAGAAGGCAAGCAGAAGAAGATCCAACACTTCCCGAATCTCGACCGACGTCCTCACAAGATACTTTGGGAGCTCAAAGCCCCTCTGCAGATTCAAACGGGGGCCGACCCTGGTGGATAACGGACGCTGTTGCCAGCCACCAGTCCCACGAACATGCCTGTCGGCGCTCCTTGTGCTGGGATGGCGTCATCGTGTTCCCCGACGTAGCATCGCTGCGCGGGCACTCCAGCTGCTTGGCCTCTCCAGACCCGTCTTTGCTCCCCGGTGGTCTGACGGTGGGTGAGTGTGATGTCAAACCGTGGACGAGGAGAATCAACCAGCGTGAGGTCAAGATGAGCGCTAAGGACAGAGAGAGGGAGAGAAGGGAACACAGAAGGAAGTGGGATGTCAACAGAGACGAAAAGGTGTGCGGCGGGCTTGAACCCCTATTTTCAAACCCTAACCTTGGCTTAAAACCCCAATGTCGATGCGAAGGTGCGACAGTGCCGAAACTGGGCCGAGTATCATCAGCTTCTGGCGAGCCGGCAAGGAAGACGCAGTGGACGGCCGGAACACTTGTGGCAGAGGGAAGTCACTCCTTTACACGACCACACCCAACCCATCTCCACAGGTAAGCCACTTGACCTGGCCTACGTTCGTGTCCACTCCGGTGTTCTAAAATGCATTTAGCAACATCAGTCACATGACACTAGTTTTTTTTCAGTTGGCCGTTTAGGCAGCAAGCAGAGTGGATCTGAATTAAGCGTGAAGCCTGCTAGTTTTGGGTGGGTCAGTCCAGTAGAAGAAAGACATAATAACCACTCCGACAGGGAAAGACAAACAAACAATATATTGATTTTTTTCTTTTTTGTTTTGTTTTCTCCAGCTGCCCTTATAGGCCACAAGGTCGTTGGGTCTTAATTGAAGTATACATTCCATCTGCTGGTTTTATGTGGCGGCCAATCTAGCGGATGATAATCTACCTAAAACTCATTGTGTTTATTTATTTTTTTTCTGTCTGTTTAGACAGCAAGCTACTTGGAATCACTTTTTTTTTCCCGTTGTTCTTACTTCCAGGTGAACTGCTAGACAAAATCAGTGTCATCAAGTCCACACATGTGCTCGAGGGAGCATCCAGGTATCCCGGTTTCACTAAACGTCCCTTGTCTATTTTCCTGTGTAAACAAAATGGTTCATTAGGCGGATGTAAAGAGTCCACCTGCTCCCACACTCTTTTAGGTTGAAGGCCTCAGAGGAGTGGAGGATTTGTTTCACTGTTTACCAACCTGACACGGTGGCTACCTTCAAGAAGAGCAACCCGGGTAAACCCTTTGCCCACATGTGCATTTGCAGGTGAGTTGACTTTCATGTCTTTTGGCATCAACACACATCAATCACCGCTTTCATCACCATCATACGGCACATGCACAAAAGTACGGAGATAAACGTTTGCATTTTGCCCAAACCCAAACAGAGGTACACATTTTCTACACTTTTAATTTATGTAGCTCTTCTAATACCTTTGTCCAAATTTTTACCACGTGTTTGTGTCCCATTACTTTAGTCCAAAATCCATATCCATAAAAAATGAGCCACACGATGATAACAAAATGTAGAAAAATATGTGGAAAAATGAGAAATGTGTGCTTATTGTAGAAGAAATAATGGGACAAAAAGGTAAAAAAAAAAAAAAAAAAAAAAAAAAAGAGAAAATAATTTGGAAAAAATTACTAAAAGTATAAAAAATATCACGCAAATGCATTGGATGAAAAATATAAAAACACAGAGAAAAAGAATTAGAAAAGAACACAGATTATTTAACTAAAGTAAACTAGACTAACAATACAGAAGTAGGTTTGTATCTGTACAGGTATATGTAATCTGAGCAAAATATACAAGATATTAATCATAATTAATACAAGACAAATGAAATGTATTAGAATTACAGGAAAATGGAAAAATATGTGAAAAATACATAAATATCATAAAATCAAGTGAAAAATTGGCCATTCTCACGTTAGCTTTATTTTTCACTTCCTGTCTGTGTCTCAATACTTTCGTCCCAAGACACAAACTAAAATAAAAATAAAGCAATTTTAAAGTCATAAAAATATATATAAAAAAAAAGAAGAATAGAAAAAAAATACTGCACCAAAAGTACAGCATTTTTAGAAAATAACACAAAACATTAGAAGTGGAAAATATTGCACGACAATACTCCAGCATTTAGTGTAATGTCCGTAATCACACCTGTATGTGACCGGGACTGGTACTTGGTTCCAGCTTCACCGGGCCTGTTCCAGACTTGGCAGCCATCAAGCAGCTTAGCTTCCAGAGTGGTGACGTCCAGATAGTCTTTGCTGTGGTGGACGCCGGTGACATCTCCTTTTACACCTTCAAAGACTTCCAGCTGCCCACTGATGTGTACCCATAACACTCCCTTTCACATTCATTTTTAAAGGAAATGCGCCCCCCCCCCCCCAAAAAAATGGTTGCTTTGAACCAAAATGGATTTAATGTGTTTTTGTAGGCATGTCCACTTGAGTCAAACTGCTTTTAGGGGCTGAATTTAAAAAATGTACTGACATTTTTGACTGTAAACTGCCCATCTTGTGTCTTTTTTGACATGGCGGCTTCTTGACGTTTTTGTGGGGCGAATCATGATTAACTTCTTTCTCAAATTTCATCATGCTAAGACAAACTGTCTTTAGGGGCTGAATTTTTGGAACTTTCTGCGAGGTGCATCGATCCTAAAATGGCTGCTTCAAAGAAAAACAGTCAACTTCTTGTCAGAGATTAGGCTCGGACAAGTTGAACAAACAGACTGGACTGAGTAAGAGATTGTCTTTCACTGCCGGCAGGAGATAAGATTCTTTGAAGCCGCACTCGTTTATGCAAATTGCAAGTGACATCAGAAAAACACTCCCCTCTTCATTTACATACCGTGCCCCTCGGGCCGGCCCCCCTGATACGCCTCTCAGTGGACACCTGGAGGCCAAGACACTTCCCAGTACAAACACCAACATCCATAATCAACAGATACTTTGACATTTTAATGAGTAGCCTTTTCATAAACTGGGACGTCTAACTTTGCTCAAGGACATCTTATCATGCTGGAGCGTATCCTCTCCGCTAGAAGTTGAATCTTTCTTGCTGTATTATCAGTTAACGAGTGCCTTGGCTCCATTCACCTCATATTGACCCCTGATTCTCTGTGCTCCATTGTGTACAAGCTGTATAAACACATGCGTTTGAGGTCAATCAAGTACGGTATATAACATAGTAAAACTTTTAAACATGATGACATTGTGTTTGTCTATTCCATCACTTCTCGAGTGTTTTGGGTGATCCTTGAGCCTTTTTTTATATCTCTGGTCAATCTAGAATAATATACAGTATGCACATCAAATGTGTTGCTAAATCAAACTACTTTTTTGTGGATCAATTAAAAAAAATCTGTGGGGGTACTTTAACTCATATGTACTACTATTTTTATTTACAGGAAAACAAACAATTATTTAATAAGTGAAGTGGACATACCTGCACCAACAATGAATACATCACATTAACATTCTAATTCTATAAATGTTTTAATTTGATTTATATTTTGTTCTTGACAGGAAATCAACTAACAAACCTTTGGATGAGATAAACCAGTGCGTCTCAAGCCTTTTACACCAAGTAAAACCTAACCCCCCCCCCCCAAAAAAAATAAACTAACAAAAAAAAAAAACAACAATCTGTTACTACGTTTGAACAATAAACACTGCATTGAAAAAGTAGAAAATGAACTGGTAAATGGTAAATCATTTAAACTGCATTGCATGCAATTCAATAAAAATGACTGTAGTATCACTAAAAACGTGAAACGTAAAATATAAAATCCGACCGCTTTGAGCCTGGAAGTTAAATACAACTCAACTGGACTAAAACGAAGGCGTCCTTGAATTGAAGTCATTTCGGCCTGTGCGTGACATCACAATTATCTCGTGTGCCAACGTTTTGCCGCAGCTGTTGACTCCATTGTTCACATTGTATACATGAATAGACGAAAGGAGCGCCGCGATGCGTTCACTGTCTCATTGTTGTGCTGTTGACGCAAGCCTCCCACCTCATACTTTTTTTATAAAGCCGCCGTTTTAGCGGCTGAGGCAGACAACCATGTCCACCTGGAGAACCGTCGTTCTTGTTAGCCTGGCCGGTAAGTTGATGCAGTTGGCTTTCCTTCAAAGGTTTCTTGGTATATGCATGATTTTTATTATTATAATTATTATTACTGTTTTTTAAAAAATTGTGTTTGTAGTCTCATGCAGTTGGGCGTCCAACTGCTCCTACTCGCACCTGCTCAGCTACTTGGAGTTGAGCTCCGTCAATGACTTCCTGGCCAATGTCAGGCCCGTCAAGGACTGGAGGCAGGTTACCAACGTGCAGATTGACCTGCTGCTCTTTGGCATCTTGCAGGTGGTAAGTCACAAGAAAAAAACCCAAAACAGGTTTTAAAGGGGCACTTGTGAAACCTTATTCACATTTATTTGATTCAACATATTAATATTTGTATGTCGAATATATTTGTTTCTTTTCCCTTGTGTTTTTCTGACTTCATCTAATAGTTTAGTACTTTTTCATCATATTACAGAATCGTGCAATTTCTTTCTGATGAAACAAGCTAACAACTATTGTAGTCATTTTCATCCATTCATTCATTTTCAATCCGCTTATCCTCACAAGTGTCACGGCGTGCTGGAGCCTATTCCGGCTGTCTTCGGGCGAGGTACACCCTGAACTGGTTGCCAGCCAGTCGCCTGCACACATAGACAAACAAGCCAAAGCAAGTTTAGAAACACGGTTCGAAGTTGACTTGACACATTTGTACTATGCAGTGCCATGCGGGTTCAAAGTACTGCTAGGTCCAGTATTTTCTTACTAGAGCTGTGTGGGTGGAAAGTCCAAACTGTGACATTATTCCTAGCGTTGTGATGCCAGTCAAATTCATACTTGTCATGCTGCTGCTAACGTTAATGTGGCCGCAGCTTGCCAGATTTATACTAGTGCTATTGCAAATTTCCCCAGTGTGTGACAAATAAAGTTTATCTTATCTTATGCGGCTGCCAATCTGAGTCATGTCCAATTTGTCAGGTTAACATTACAATCGTGCTCTGAATATTTTAAACCATTTAAAACAAATGTCTATTAATTTTTAATTCTGCAAGTATGTATTTTTATTTATTTGTTAATTTTAATTTGTTTCTGGTACATTTGTATATTTTATCTTAATTAACTTTATGTCTAATTTTGTAATTTCTGTCAGAATATTTTATCTTTTTGTCTGAAATGTAGTATTTTCTATTTTGGGAGTTCACACAGAAACTGGATGGGGGGGTTGTAATTTTTTTTGTCCAATAATTTTATAATATCTGTGTATTTTTCCACCTAGTATTTGCATTTTTTTCCATCCAGTATTTTGTTATGATTACAAATGTATCTACTCAACAATCTAGTGTAATATAAAACACATTTTACTGTATTGATCATGGAAAGACCTGCTTCTTTTATTTTAAAGATTTTGTGTAAATAAGTAAATTTACTACTGTACACAATATCTCTGTCACAAGTCATCTGTGTAAATATTCTTTTTTTTTTTAAATTTCAAGGTCAAGGTCATCTTTATTGTCAAATATACTTTATGTATAACATAGATGACATTTCTTTCTCTCAATCCTCAGTGCAAACATGCTGTGCATTAAACACACACAGCTCAGATAAGATAGCAACTACACTGTATAAAAAGACATAATATGTAATCTAAACAGTATAAACAATAGAAACAATTTTCTGTGTTGTCAATGTGTAGGATGAGAAGCTTCAAACCTTCATGAGTCACGTGTGGATCCAAACGGTGAGAAGCCGCTTCAGTGTAGCAAATCATATTAACGATTGATGTGTGTGCTGGGTATTTTATATTTCCCGGTCTGTTTCTTTACAGGTCTGGGAAAATGATTTCCTCAAGTGGAAGCCGTCTGATTTCTGCAACATCACCCACTTCTCCATTCCCCGGTCCATGCTGTGGACGCCCGACATAAACATCCAAGAGGAGTGAGTTGGCGAACTATTTTTTTTTTTTTAAATTACCGGTACTGTCGATGACGTAAGAGCAGGTGGCACTCACGTGGCTGCTGCAATGAGCCTTTTTTGTTCCCTAAGCGTTCACTTTAACACAAGATAATGACTGTTATGTCATTTGGTGCTGTTATGAGCTAATTCAATAGTCATTTTCCTGGGTTTACAGAACACGTTGTGTAATCAGATTCGAACTACCGTGTAAATGTTTACACTGCCCATCATGCGCGTGTTTGAACAACTAATGGATGCACAAAACAGCAGCGGTATTGTGTTTAATTTGACCGCATGATTACACACACCCAACAGGCACCATTTTTTGGTACACAATCCAGTGACATCTCTCAGTAAAAACTCAGCATTTAAGCAGCTGCTGGAAAATTCAGTCCCCAAAGCCAATTTTACTCTGTCACCTGAAATTTGGTCAACACGTCAGTCATGAGTAGAAACCATCAATACTTGACATATCCCAGGATAGTTGTACGCAAATATACCAAGTACATCATCTGGAGCCGATTACAATTGATATTCATGCAACAACAAAAACATTTTAAAAGAAATACAGTGGCTTATGAAATTAATTGGTTCTGGAAGACATTTCTTCACTAAACATTTTTTTAAGTAGAGACGCGTTTTCCATGTAAACCCCCTAATCAGTTTCAAGCCCTCCAAAATTCTGACATAAATGTTTTCTAAAGCATAAAAATGCATCAAAATATGTAACAAGTACATGTTACAATTAGATTACTGCAAAAAAAATGTTCAAGAAGCGTCTGAAAAGACAGAAGTCTGCCATTTTGGTTTGAAGCGGCCATTTTAACGATAATAGCACCACTCCCACACCCCCAAGTTGTTTTTAATAATTCAGACCCCAAATTCCCTCGACAACATGAAATATGGTAGCCTTGACAATCATGAGGAGAGCCACAAAAAGTCGCAAGATTCCATTCCCAGAAAGACACAGGAAGTGTCTTTTTTTTTTTTTTTTAACATACCGTGAATGGCAGATTCTTCCTTCAAAGGCAAACTACTCCAAGACAATTTGGCTGATTACTACCAAGTTTATATTATTTGACAGCTTAGATTTTTGCTCCCCTATCTTTAATGAGGCAACTACCTGAATTTTGCGTTCTGCTCACAGTGCCTCCGACAGCGGGAGCATCCAGAGCAGTTACTACGTGACGGTGTACGCCAACGGAATGCTGCAGATGACCGCCCGTCAGCGGCTGACAACCACGTGCACCCTCAACCTTTACAATTTCCCCTTTGACCGGCAGAACTGCGCCATCACCTTCAGCGCCATGAACACTGACGGTAAGCGTGGACGCCAGGCAAAGACGACGACGGAAGTCAGGAAGGAAGCTTCTTCAATTTGTCTTGTCCTAATCCCGAATCAGATAAAGGCATACGACTCGGGACACTGAGTGGTGATGAATTTATTACGAACGTCTCAGAGCAGTCCATGGTAACTCGTGGGGAATGGAGCCTGAAGCACTTGGAAATCATCTCAAACGTGACCGGCAAGGGAAAACCAAAAATTAGTGAACTGATTTACCAGGTGAGGTTTGAGTTTTTGGGACGTGGCTGACTTAATCCAAGTCTGGATTGCGCATTTGGCAATTATAGAGACCATCACTACTTGACAAATCCCAGAACAGTGGTACGCAAATGTACCAAGTACATCACCTGGAGCCATTTTACAATAGATTTTCATGCAACAACAAAAACAAAACATTTTCATAAAATACATCAAGATTTATCAATCAGAGGGCATAAAAACGATGACATCATTGGCCAGCAAGCTTGCCCTGAGAAAGGAATTTGAAATATGATTGGTTCAAGATACAATTCCATTTAAGTTACATGTTACCGTTCATAGGTGCGGATCGAACGCAAGCCGATGCTGTACGTGATCATCTTCATCGTTCCGCTCTTCTACCTGCTGGTGCTGGACCTGACGTCCTTCTTCATTGACGAGGGCCGCGGCGAAAAGTTGAGCTTCAAGGTCACCGTGCTGCTCTCCATCTCCGTCCTGCTGCTCATCCTCAAGGACATGCTGCCCTCCACCGAGGACAACCTGCCCATTATTGGTGAGCGAGCGGTCCCGTCTGTCCGTCCCGTCCCGTCGCATCACGCTCTCGCTGATGCCGCCTCTCCCACCTTTTAGCCAACTTCTGTGCGGGCGTGTTCGCCCTGGTGGGCCTCAGTGTCCTGGAGGCCATGCTGGTCAGCTTCATCATCGACCTGGATGACAGGTTTGCCAAGAAGCGGGCAACATCGTCTGACAGTGAAGTTCCCTCAGACAAAGGGGACAAGAAAGGTCAGTGGCTGGTGGCTGTTTGGCACTCTGATTGGCAGCCGTGTGGCACTCGTGCAAATCTGACGTGTTGGATTTTGTCGCCACATGGCAATAGTACGATTCTTAACAAGTAGGACTTTACAGTTGTGTGGCACTTACCACTATCACAAATCTGATTAGTATATATCTGACAGGTTGTGCTTTGCAGCTGCATGGCACTTGAATGAATGTAAAAAAAAAAAAAATGAACTAGCGCTAGTATGACTCTGGGTGGCACAGTGGTCAACTGGTTAACACGTCGGGCTTATAATGCAGAGGTACAGATCTTGATTCCGGCTCCGGCCTTTTTGTGTGCCGTTTGCATGTTCTCCCCGTGCCTATGTGGCTTTTCTCCGGGTATTCCGGTTTCCTCCCATATTCCAAAAACATTCATGGCAGGTTATTGGAACAATTAAATTGTCCCTAGGTGTGAATGTGAGCGCAGTTGTTTGTTTGTCTATGTGTGCACTGCGTTTGGCTGGCAACCGGTTCAGGATGTACCCCGCCTACTGCCCGAAGACAGTTGGGATAGGCTCCAGCACGCCCGCTACTCTTGTGAGGATAAAGAAAATGGATGGATGGAAAGTTGGAAGGATGGATAGTATGACTCTTGACTAGGAGCTGCAAAGTACTACTGTAGTATGAATGTGATTAGCGACCACATAGCACTATAATGAACATGACAAGTTGGAATTTGCAGCCACATAGCACTACTATTAAAGTGTCATGGTGAACGGCATCCTATAGTATGGTATGACTCTCACAACTTGGACTTGGCAGCTGCATAGCACTAGTATGAATCTGCCACGTTGGACTTTGCAGCCACATAGCACGAGTGTGAATCTGACAATTTCGAGACATTAGCTGCATGGCAGTGGTATGCTATGTGGCGAGTTGAGCTTTGAAGTGTGAATCTCACTCACAGCCGGATAGCATTGTGGCTTGCGCTAAAACGGCGATGCAAACGTTAGCTCCTTGGTGGAGGTCAACAGCCCCCGTGTCCTTTCAGATCCCCTCGAGGAGAAAGCGGAAGGTTTGCCCATTCAAGTCGGACGTCTGTCGGAACGCGAGCAACTGAGACTTTTTCTGCAGGAGATTCACGAAGCTCAGCGGCAAGCGGCAAGCAGCCGCGATTCACCTCGGCCTAAACGCTTTCGACGGATTGCAGAAATCATCGACATTCTCTTCTTCATTTTTTACTTTTTCACTGTTGGAATTTTCCTGGTGGTGATGTATGTCATGTGGATTCCGCCTGGCTTTTTCAGTTAAACTCTGACAAACTCACATGATTAAAACACTTTAAAGATTCATGATTTGCTTTGAAAATGTAGCCTATTTGGTCCATAAATCATATTTTGCAAATTTCCAGCATTTTACATGCTTCTAGAGTTTCTGTAATTACAAAACGCTAATTAAGTTTACAACAATGGCAGGATGACAAGATTATTACCATTAAACTTGTATTATGTTGTTAATCCAAGTGTTCCAATTCATGTGTCATTGCTTTTCAGTGCATTCCATCCATCTCGTTAATCCTTAACACACACGGACAAACTAGTCACCAGGCAATGTCAGGGCACACGTGGAGAACGCACAATTTAGAAATTTAAGGAAGACCTGCTACTCATTTGCAATGCACTGTAATCAACCACCACTGCCTGGCCCTATCATGACAGTACTTTTTAAAATTTAAATAATTTTCTATGATTATTTTGTAATGGTTAAATATTTACAGGGCGCTTTTTTTTTTTTTCTTCTTATCGTTTCTCAATTCCACTGTGCAAAGTCAACGTGTCATCACATGATCCTACGATATGTCGTTGATGACGCTTCTGGCAGTGGTTGGGTAACGTGCGCAGAACGTAATAGCCACAACTTTGCGTGTCATTCAAAGTAAAAGCTACACCGTGGAAAACTGAGCGGTGTTCACTTATTTTGAAAATCCAAAGCGGAATCACTTCTTGTGAACCCAAAACTGCTTCATTAGTTGCTGACCTGCGATGCGAGTCCGGAAAGTGTCACTTTTTGCGACTTTTCACTGTCCGTGGACCACATAAACGGCTCATGTTGCAACTCAGGAAAGAGTTCTTGTTTTGCGTGGACCTTGCAAGCTGGTCGGTGTGCTTTTGTTCCGGCTGACGGCTCGGAGCGAAGTGCTAGCCTGTTAGAGGCTACCTGCAGCTAGCAAAACACTGCAAGACAGGTGAGCTAATGTTTACTTTCTTTATCAATCAGGTGACCTCCCTGAACACATCAGGAATACACTGTTTTTTTGTTTTTGTTTTCCGACAGGTACAGTGAACTTACATTTATTAAAAAAAAAAAAAGATGACAGGTCCCAAAGGAAGAAAGGCAGGCAAGGACTTTTAAACAAAGTAATGGATGCAAAAAGAAGGGAGATGGAAATCAACGATGAGGAATAACTAGGTCAGAGGTGGAAAGGAAGGATATAAAATGAAAGAGGAAAGGAAGCGAAGAAGGGGGAAGAAGGGAGTTGGTTGGTACCTAGGTCTGAGGTGGAAGTATGCGAAATAAAAAGCAGGTCTCAAAGAAGAAAGATAGAAAGCAAAGTAGGGCGCAAAGAAGGGAAGGAGGTTAAAAGCAGGTAGGGCACAAGGAAGGAAACGAGAAAAGAACATTTAGGCAATTAAAGGAAGAATAGACACGTAAATGAAAAACAGGAAGAGGAAGAAAAAAAGGTCTGACTGAGGTGAAAGACGGAAAGGAAAGAATGCTGAAAAAGATTTAAATGAAGGATAGAAGGATGCAGGGATAAATAATTGCTGCGACAGAAGAAGGTACTTCAAGAAGGAGTAACTAAGTTGTTAGTGAAAGCATTGCTGGTCAGCAAAGACACTCTGAAAGCCGCCAAAATTATTAAGAAAAAAAAGTAAATCAGATAACTGAATACAATAATTTGTCTAGGAACGTTTTACGTGGGTTGAATTTGTGTTCAACCCACTGTCAGTTGGCCATTTTGCATTGAAGGTTCCAATGTCATCCGCCTCCCAATTTTGTTGTTTGTTTTGCTTTCGTCGTCAGGTAGATCTCGTCAACCATGGCAGGTGGAATCACAGACACGGGGGAGCCCTACTCTGCCTTTGTGAGTATTCTTCCTCGAAGCATTCCTTTTCTTCCTGCTTTTACTGTTGTCTGAAAGCCTTTTATGACGTTGAAGCACACGCTTCTTTGGAGACGCGATTGCTCAATGCGAAAGTGAAGAGGAAGCTAAAGTGCTGAAGAGCATCCTCTCAATGGGCCTGCGCCTTGAATGATTGAAGCTCTCTGCAACTTGATAGAATCCTTCCTGAGTCTCCAAGAACAAAAAGCATGAACCAATCATCTGTAACAAATGCACTTACCAAGAAGAGTAACGAAATGGCTATCTGATGCAGGTGGGTCTGGTGTACATGTTCAACCTGATTGTGGGAACGGGAGCGCTCACCATGCCCAGAGCCTTTGCCACGGCCGGCTGGGTGCTAAGTTTGGCGCTTATTTCCTTCCTGGCGTTCATGAGGTGAGTGTCACGCTTTTGGCCCAAGTGCCACATTTTCACATCTTGTTGGCATCTCAAAACCTTTCGCCAAATTATTCATTTTTCACCCAATACTTTTGTCCATTTTTTTCCAACATTTTCAACATTTTAAGGCAGGCGTCTCAAACTCATTTTTGTCGCTGGCCACTTTTGAGTTACGTCTTCCCTCGGAGGGCTGTTATGACAGTGAAACCACAAAAATGTTTAATTGCATTATCAAATTATTACTTGTAAGGGCAACAAAATTATTGCAAAATCTCAATCTCATTTATTAAACATGACAATTTGACATTTCGGTACATTTTTTAGTAGCTAGGATCTTGCAAGTTGACACACATGATTTTCTTTCAGGGGCCCGCAATAGCCCATATTTTGTATGTGGTGGACCTAATGAAGTGGTGTACCTAATGAAGTGTCCTAAAACTCTCCAGTTACATGACCACCACCTTTGTGATCGAGGCCATGGCGGCGGCCAACGCGCAGCTGCGATGGAAGAGGAGAGAGCAGGACGAGGTCATCCTAATTCATATCGTGCACCATTTTTTTTTTTTTAGGAATAAGTTCTGTATTAACAATGGCGTTGTTGGTTCACCAGCAGATCCATGACCACGACTCCACCTTGGACTACTCGGACGATGACAACGTAGCAAGGGGACGGGGTGAGCCGGAGACAAAGCCCATCTTGTCCGTTCGTAAGTGGTCAACACTGGTCAGCATTGGACCAAAGAGATGTCAATCATTCGAGCAGCTCCCTGATTGGTTGTGTTTGCACCAACGTTTTGGGGCGTATACAGTCAGGGACGATATGCCATTTTGCTCATAATTGTTCCTGAAAATATTGGGACACGAACAGTTGAAAGTAACGCGGAAGTAATGTAAGCCATTACAAGTTAGTAACTCATGAATTTCAAATTGCAATAGATTTGTAATAGGTGACATCCTTTCTATAATGTATACTTCTCTTCTCCGCCTTCCCCAGAACGTTCCGGCGGTCCCGTGGACTATTTTGACATCGCCGAGCGCGTGGAGATGGGCCAGATGGCGTCCATGTTCTTCAACAAAGGTAAACATTCTCGCCGGCGGGCCTCCGCCGCCGTCCCTTCGTCTGTCCCGTCGGTCACCTTCCACACCCTAATGATTATGATGGGGAAATTCTATAAACGAGTCTTGCCTTCGCAATTGCAAAGACAAGAGGTGTCATTAGGAAAGCACTGCACACCTCAGGTGGTAACTAGCTCATCATTCTGACACTGGTGGTGTGTTGGAGTCACACACACGCACAAGCATGCTCACACGCACATGCATGCACGTATGCTCTCCGGCCAGCAGGGGGCGCGCTGAGCACACGTGTTTGATAGGCCGTATTATTGGAAAAGGTCAATATGTAGGAATAAACACAGCCGCAGTTGTCTTTGTAGTTGGAATCATGCAAGAGAGAAAACATAGAATGCTGTCCAGATGGTGACCCAACTCAGGTGATCAAGGGTTACAATTTTTAAAACAGAAGGTTTGGGGCAGGGCATTAAAAAAAACAAACAAAAACAAAAAGAAACAACATAAAATTTGTAAAACAGTTAACTTTAATCATAAAATTAATTTTAATATTTTAATTGCATTACTTCAACTTCATTATTTAGTTCTCCAATTGTTTTAATAAATCAAAAAAGGATGCAATGTTCTATGTAAAATGTGTATGCTATTTTAAAAATCAAATCATTCATTTTTGAGTTTTAATTGTATTTATTAGAATTATTAACCAAATTAAAAAAAAAGAAAATAGTGACATTGTGTATGTTACATTTGAGAAATAATTTATTTTAATATCATAATAAATCATTTTTTAAATTATCCATCCATCCATATTAAAAGTTTAAATTCAATTATTATTATTCATACTAATTTTTTAAATTCTTTTTATTTAATTTCAAAGGAATTCACATTTATTTTTAAAACGTAATCCATTTTAATCAGGTATTTTCATGTTTTATACTTAATTAACTATTATTGTATTATATGTTATGAAAAAACACAAACTTAATGCAAATCACAAATGTACAGTTGTTGACAGTTACTTGGATAAGTGAGTGTGAAAACAAGCCACATACTGCTTCACCAATCCAAATACATTGTAAAATGTTCATAGCTTACATGACAGCTTTCAAGTCGATTTTGGAGTACAACAATTCAGCAACGAGTCGCTCTGAAGAGAAGCTTGTCAGGCAAGTGACGATTTAATCCAGATGGACTCGGACAAAAACCGAAATTGCAACGGATTACGGGAGTAGATATGCGTGCGTGCGCGCGTGGCGACAGATGCTTGCCTCCGATAACAAGCGTGTATTTACACTTTCTCGGGATGAGAGAGCCTGCAGAAAAAAAGGCGAGCACCCGTGTCATTTTGGGATTCCCAATGACATTTTACGAAACCTCACAAAAACTCAATCTTGGTAATTTTTTGGGGGGTGGGGGGGTCAATAACACTCTCCAAGTTTCAGAAACAAATAAGAATGTCAGACAGAGGAATGCGATTTAAAATAATCAAAAAAATGAAATAAACGTTTAAATTGGATGTCTGGCTGATAAAAAAAAATTGACCTCAATTTTTTTCGTGATCGCATTAATATACTGGGCAATGACCTACTGGATCCAGTAGATGGAGCTCTAGTAAGATGTATGCTGAAGTTGGTATCTGCTTTGTGATGCCCTTCACCGCCACCTGCAGGACTGGAGTAGAAGCTACATCTGAATTGTTGCTTTTCCATTGCAATTCAATCTGTAGGACCTTCAAGTATCAGGCCAGCGAGGGAAGTGAAAATTGAAGGAAAACGTGGACAAGTATTGGGACAACTACACAAAGTAAAAATGTGGATTTGTGGACAAAAGTATTGGGACACAGACGGGAAGTGGAAAAAGTGAAGAAAATATGGTATTTCAAATAAAAGTATTGGGACACCCACAGAAAGTGAAGTGGAGGAAAATGTGGACTTTTTGGACAAAATTATTGGAACAGTTACAGGCAGGGAAACTTGGTTTTGAACAAAAGTACTGGGACATTAGACAAGAAATGGAGCGTGGGGAAATGAGCGTGGTGACACATACAGGAAGTGAAGAAAAAAATGAACTAAAATATGTTTTTGCACAAAAATATTTAGGACATTTAGTGGAAGTGTTAAGTAGGAAATTGTGGAGTTTGGACATCCTGTTGCCATGTGGTGACAGTTCTACCTTCTGCATCAATTTGTGTGTTGACAAGGTCGACTGGCGTCATGTTTCCTTGCTGCAGTGTCCTATTTGTGGGTATTTAGGGACAATATGTGTGTGTGCGTGTGAGTATGCGGGTGGGCTGGGCAGCTGCCTCCGGGCTGGGCTCCATTTAGATTTAATTTGCAAATCTTCCCAAACGTACCTTCATCAAACTTTCCCGAGGATCTTTTCTCAGCAGAGACATCAAACTCGAAAGGCGAAGGTTAATGAGGACAAACTCTACAATGAATCATTTGTGACCAAGCAATCGGGCTGAACGATTTTTAGGAAAATTGTGTAGAATTTAGTAACCTGCAAGTAATAAGTGTTTTTTTGTGTTTTTTTTAAAGAAGGTAATAAGAGACTCTAGAACTTTTGAGTTTGTATTACAATGTCGTGTTTCAATAAATTGATATGGAAATTAGAATGTTACTAACATTAGGACCACTTTTGTCATTTTTACGTGTCTCTTTTTGTTTCTGGGAAAAAATGTTGCTCAAGGGGTTGCAAAAGTAGCTAAGTTGGCAACACTGCAGACACAAGTCATAGCTCTTGCTTGCTACGTTGCTGGGACTAGCATTCGCACGTGTGCACATAAAATGAAAGCACACCTTTCAAAATAAATGCACAGGATAGTTTATGTTTGACTTTGGACTTCATGGTCACTATGAGGGCTGCTGGGCAGAGTCTTGAAGGTGGCCCCCCTAGGAGGTACTTTTTCACAGCTCCGGTCTCAAGCATATTTCTTAAATCTTACTTACTCCCATTATTGCTTTGATAGCATTTGATTGTGTCGCGCCTTTTGTAGCCAGTGAGTGGGAATGTAATGGAGTTGAGAACTTAATTAAAAAAGAGAAATTGCCGCCGTGAGGCTGTCATCGCGGCTGTCAGTCAATTTGGCGCTCCGCTGATGGACGACGGCGACCATTCGGGACGTCACTCTCCGCCACGTGCGGCATGTGGTGCTTGCTAATTGTGATTGGGGCTACGGAATCTCTTCTGACTCAGCGGAGAAAGTTCTGGATTTCTGGTTGGCTGCTTGTTTCTTGCCGGTGCCTGTCACGCAGAACAGCAAACGGCGGCGGCAATAGAAACTGATCCCTATTGTAAGAGACAACCTGAAAGGGGATAATGACTCATATTCATCTTGAGTTAAGTATGTTTCTGGATTGCAAGGCCGCCGAGTTGTCTATGTTCATACCTTTAAAGCCTGGAAGTTCTTCAACCCTTTCTTTTACACAGGATGGCAGCTTTTGGCAACTGATTCAAACTTGGCTGAGAAGGTTCCGGATCGTAGGGTTCTGTCTTTCTATTGCAGTACATTTCATGCAAATCATCAATCCACCAGAAGAAAAGTAAAATTCCCATCTTTGTTGGCAGCGTGAAAGGGCCTATTGACTGGATTTCCAGCCCGTTAACTTGATGAATGTTTGTTTACGTGATCGTTTCATTTTTTGTTTTTATTGTTTAATTCCTCAACTTGTTGTTTTGATTGTCGAACCCATTCAGGGTTTGATGCTGTAAACCTGCCATTTTTTTTTTATTCCTCCTCACTGGGCCCGCCTTGACTTTCCTCTGCGGTAATCAAAGAGCTGACCGTTGACCCCGTTCTTTGCCTCGCCCAGCGAGCATGATGGATGAGGGGGGTTACTCCGATGATCATTGCTGTGTGATGATAACTAGGATGTGGGAGGTGGTGTGGGGGGTGTAACGCGAGGGCAGATGGCGAGGAATAAAAGTTTGCCCTTGCGTTGGGGAGTTAATTACGTCAATTTCATATTTGCGCCAATGAGACGATGCGCATATTAAGAAGGGGAACACGCACGTTCGCCTTGTTTGTCCGCCAACATCATTTCCCCATGAACTGTTTGCTCCGATGGTGCCGAGGACGACCACACCGGCGCTGCTTGATTAAGAATGTCCACAAGTGCTTCCCATTGTACACAACTCCTCTTTATGGGATTTATTCACGTGGACTTTCCAATATGTGGCTTTCATCACCAACTACATACATGTCGAGTTGTCACGTGCAATGCTGCCGACAAGTCTTATTCATTTTTATTTGCTTTCGCATCTTTATTTTTCAGATGCATAGAGTGGGAGAATATGTGGTCGTAATACAATAAACCTCCCTTCATTGAGGGTTCCAGGTTCATGGTCCAGGTTTTTTACAGATATTTAAATTTATTTATTTATTTGGGGAGGGTGGTTAAAACTCTTATGTTCTTCCCCCTGTTTATATTTGGTGTAATTTCACTGTCACCCACTAGATAGCAGCACAATATTTGTGAAAGAAGAGTGAAAATGGTATTTCAAGGTCAGACTAATTTTTGCTAAACATAATGTCAAATCCTCTTCAATCCTGCATTTTATGCCCACGGAGAGTGACGACCAAGTTCATTTAGAAATGTACATCTTTGGGCATGAATATGGGTGTACAGTATATTGTCAGATAAGTTTGTGTGTGTGGGGAAAAAAATGATTGATTTACTCTAAACACAGAGCATTTGAGATACTGTAACGCTGTACAATAGTTTTGGCACAGCGGTCGACTGGTTAGCATCTCGGCCTCACAATGTGGAGTTTGCATGTTCTCCGCGTGTGGGTTTTCTCCAGGTATTCTGGTTTCCTCCCACATTCCAAAACATGCATCTACCATACATTAATGGATCACTCTAAATTGTCCATAGATAGGAGTTTGAATAGTTATTCGTCTATCTGTGCCTTGCGATTGGCCTGCAACCAGTTCAGGGTGTACCCCACTACTGCCCCAAAACAGCTGGGATACGCTCCAACACGCCGGCGACCCTCGTGAGGATAAAGCTGTTCAGAAAATGGATGGATGATAGTTTAAAGTCCTAAAAAAGTGCCATAAATGCCATAAAAACATGCCTAGGGAGTATTTAAATAGGGTATTTTTATATCGCAGATTTCACTTCTTGATGTGTTGGTGTGGAACGTAACATTTTCGCTGTAGTTCTTCTATATTGTAAAATAACCGGTCTGACCAATCTCGCTGCTGCTCACGTTCCCTACAATTTTTATCCCTTGATCATCAAAATCATGACCGCTGCCTGAGTGTACACAGACTCTTTATTTCTACTTGTGTATTCTTTTTGCTCCTTTTCGCCGCTATTACCGCTGCTCCTCACATTCACTCTTGTATATTGTATCTACGCATTCATGTACATTTTGCCATTCACATATGCATATACAGTAATTATTCAGCCACGCGTGCCACGTCCTCTCATCGTACTCATTCTGTCTGCTGTCCAAAAGGAATTTTCTACATGACATGACCAATAATGTCTTCTGGCGATGTTGTCTTCTAGTGGGTGTCAACATGTTCTACATCTGCATCATCGTGTACCTGTACGGCGACCTGGCCATCTACGCCGCAGCCGTGCCCATTTCCCTCATGGAAGTGGCCTGGTGAGCATCCCCTATATCACTTTTTCCCGCGCTTTCGTTGTCTTTTACTGCCGGATAAAACCTGCATATAAAGTCATTTTATAGCCGGACCCCGCCTCGACCCGCCAGCCTCTCCTCCTCCATTTTGGAAGGCTCGTTCGCTCACGTGCGTTTTGGCAGGGCCGAGCAGCGGCGTCCTCGGCTCCCGCGCATTCCCACACCATTGCTGTTGTCTTTCCTGTTTGTGGAGACAATAATGGCGAGCTGACTCTGTCTGACACCCCCACCCCCCTCCTCCCTCCCCCGGTCCCCTGCAGCCGGCGCTGCTCCCGGGAATCTCGCTGGTGTTCCGTTTTTATTGCCACCATGCTTTATTAAGAAGGCCCGTCCGCACAAATGCACATTGTGTGGTTTCTCGAGGCGTGATGGGAACGTGCTTTCTTTCTTTAATCCTTCGAAAGAGAAAGACCGAAGAAAATAATTTAATGATCCTTTACACGCAATACACATTTCGCTAAGTACCCCTGTGTAAATGAATACACTCCAAACAAAGCAATGGAGCCTTTACACTGGCTGTCAGAGAGCAATTAGAGGACGATTTGAGCTTGTAGCATCATTCGACTGCGATAGCAACATGTATACAATGATGTTGTCAAAATGAGAACTATACTGTGTGTCGCCTTTGAGAAGTAGCTCAAACAAAATTGCATTTTGTAAAAGCAGACAAAATTGAATATAAAATCACTAAGAAATATTTTAATCAAATCATCTACTTAACTCATTTACACCCTTTGACGTATAAATACGTCAATTAGCGCATAGCCGTTCCCTCCCAATGACGTATTAATACGTCAATCACGTTTTTTCATGGGGGAGGGTGCAAGAGAGTCTGATGCAACTTCTCACCAAAGGATTAGGCTTGACGGCAATGTTAAATAGCAAAAAAATGGCCATCGGGTAGCAGTGGTGCAAAAATCCACGAGGATCACGCAGCAGAAGTCGTAGAAAGGGCGTATAGTGGAGGAGGGGCGTATGTGGATAGTGGATTGGAACGTTAGCAACTAGCAACGATGGAGAAAAGGAAACAACTAACTAAAAATGATTGTTTTTTTCGGTATAAAAGCGTCCTCGAAACAAAACAACAAAGGAGATGACGCTTTGGTCACGTAATCGAAAGCAGCACACGTCAAACGAACGTCAGCCTGCGCAAACATGGCGTGCTACACTCGGCCCGCATAGCTCACGCCGAGTTTCGAGCTCATCTGATGAAGATGAACATGCTCCACGTCAGGGACCATCGCTTGGTAGAGCATTTTGTGCCTCCCCGTGCCGCACATTGCCCACAAATCGTCTCCCCGGCGACTTCCAGCGATGACGGCAAAGAGGCTGCATTGCTTCGCATGGCCGACGCCGGGCACACGTCAGCGATTCGCTGGAATCATCTCGTAATGACGACGGCGAAAACGATGAATTGGAGAGCGATTTGGATCCCGATCTGTCGGACGAATACGTGCCTTCGGACATAACGGAAAGCAGCTGAGAGTTCTCGCCAGAGCCGCTGGAACGAGGAGGTAACTGCTGACTAGCTTGCAAGTTCCCATTCAAAACTTCATCACTTATGCCTCATCAGTCACTTTTATGCACCGCTACATTCCCCGATATATTATAAAGTTGCCAGTAACACTTATCATTTATGTACGGTTGATGCGTCTCGTAGATGTGGATGAAAATATGCGCCGTAAATGTGCTGACTTGCGTGTTGCCATAGGTTTTAAAAAAAAACAAAACAAAACAAAAAACAGGACACATTTGGTCCGCTCAGCTCTGCTAAAACCACTAGTGTTCAATTCATATTCCATTTCATTTCAAATTGGATGCTGAGCAACGTGGAATGAATGATGTAAATAGCAGTGTGCGAGCATGTGTGTGTGTGTGTGTGTGTGTGTGTGAGAGATGTTGAAATGTAAGTGGAAAGCAACAATAGAAAAATAAGTGTGGTAATTGTACATACTTCTATAAATTACAGATTGTTCAACCAGAAGCCAAAAGATGACTCCTTGCTTTGGTGGTGGAAAGAAAGGTAAATAAAATTATTGTACCTCACTCTGCAGCAAGATATATTTGCAACTTTTTATATTTCTATGATTTATAGGTCATGCATCTGGATGTGGTGGGATGAATCGATGTGGTGACAAACTGGATGGAAGCCAAAAATCATCCTCTCCACAGCTGCACTTTCGTTCATTTTTCAATTTGCACTTTTGTTCAAAGTTCAATAGTTTTGTTGTGTGCAAATAAATTATTTTGCTACAAAAACAGTATTTGTAATGTTCTTTTGTAGGAGGAACACATTATTGAGGTATTTGAGCTGTCACAAAAGCGTAAAACTTGAAATGATGCTTGAAATGCATGCTTTTACAAAAAGCTCATTTTCTCTGGATTTCTGCAGAAAATCGGCCTTTTCCATAAAACTTAGCAGTTTTCTAATGCTGATTGCCAACGAACGGAGAAAGATAGAAACAAACTTTTTTTTTCTGCTGAAAGAAGAGAGTCTCACCTTTCTTTTGACAGGTTGCATGTATATATAGCCATAGAACAGAAAATTCCGTGGGCCTTGCAAATCAGTCAAAATTCAGTAAAATGTGAGGGATTGAGCGGGTTGCTCCAGTGAAAAGGGGTGGTATTCAATGAGTTAAAAACATGGTTTGAATACAGTGTTTTCACTTCATTTGTATATTGTGTTGATTTCTTCAGCGGGAACCATTCATGCAGCGCAGGAGCTGTAAAGTACAACGACACCGACGCATGCTGGGGCTCGGTGACAAGGAAAGATGCCTATAGAGTCTTTCTGGTAAGTCGTTGCTTCTTATTTTTAGCGGCCTACACGTGGCGGTGATACAAGCGTCCAGTCCGCCGACGACTACATGCTTTTTTTTCCCCTTCATGAAGTCATTTTGATAATTGCAGCAATGTCCTTGACATTCTTGTTGACCACAGTCTTTCCACTTTGGTGGCAATCTTTTTTTTTCTCCCCCCCACTAAAATTCTTACACAATTCTAATTGTTTTTATTATCTTCCATTTTTTTTCTTCACATGCAGCTTCTACAAGTACTTTTTTTTGTTGTTGTTGTTCTTGCTCCTTTCTCGTGATGGGGCTTCACTCCCATCCAGAAAATACGTGTTTTATTCGAGTTGACCCTTCAGTTAAATAATTCACCACTGACTGAGCTTTGTTGAGCCATCCAGGAGCCTCCTGTTAGCATGAAAAATGCCCACTGCCCCCTCCAAACTCCTCGTTCTTCGACTCCACGTCAAAGGGCGCTGGCCTTAAGAGACTCGCCAGACTGTCCAATGACCAGTTTAAATAATTGACCACTCCCTATCGGCAAGTAGACGTGTGTGTGGCGGGGAATCCATGAAAAGCTTCCTCGCGCTGCATCCAAGCAGACTCCTCCGAATCCCTGTTGAGATCTCCAAGGTCTTGATGACCTTCAGTCTTTAAAAGGGGCCAATAGTTGGAAAGTTGGCGAGTCGTTCTGAGCCGTGAAGCAGTCCAGCGATGCTTTCGCTTAGTCGTTGGTGTTGCAGATCGACTGACACCTTTTTGATGCCAGGAAAGAACAAGAAAGAAGAATTAATGATGCAAGTTTGTCTTTGAAGGACCCCTGGAAATATGCCTTAAGTGGCTGCTTCAAAGCAAAATGGCAGACTTCCTGTGTGTTTCAATCATGGCTTCTTGAGACTTTTTTGTGGGTCTATTTATGATAAATATGATTACTAAGTGAAAGTGGCTTCAGGGGCTGAATTTTAAGAAAAAAATTGGTTAGATGCAACTAAGCCAATTGAGGCTAAAACAGCAGGTTCAAATCAAAATGGTCAAATTCCTGTTTTTTTTCTGACCTGGCTCTTTGAGACTTATTTTGTGGGTCGACTGATGATAGATACCCACAAAAATTCATGTTGCCAATGGAATTTTGCTCCATGGGCTAAATTCTCAAAAGAAATTGTAATTTTTAGTTTGAGTGTGAATCATTCAATTCAAACCAAAATGGCTGACTTCCTGTGTCTTTTCAACTATGGCTTCTTGAGACTTTTTGTGGGTCCATCCATGATAGCTGTGTCTACGAATTTTCACGTTGCTAAGTGAAACAGGGTTTGGGGGATATTTGATTTTCCGCCAAAAATTCTGCAGGCTGCTAAAATGGGATATATTTCAAGATCTGCATGACACGTAAAAGTGTCCGTAATTCCCGCTAATCTACGCTGGCCTGAATGAGTCTGCGTCTGATTTATGTCTTATTAAATGAGAAATATGGCGGCGGCGTTGAAGGGGACACAAAACGGCGGGAATAAATCATAAGTCAAACGGCGGGCGTCGGGCGGAATGTAAATGAGCCTTCTGCTGCCGCCGTTCATGTTTAACAATCAGACCGTGAACGTGGGCCGACGATGAATGCGGCGAACATAAAAGCATCCTGCTTTATTAAGGACCCGAGTAAAACGACACGACTACACCGGCGTCGGGGCCATAAATCTTTGGCTTTTTAGAGGATGCTTAATGTTGTCAGTCATCATCCCACCGCTTTGTTAACTTCTCCCTCTCACTCAGGTTGGATTTTTGTTCGATGAGTGCGGGTTGTTGTACGCTTTTGTTCCCCAGCAGCGCTGATGATTTGTCCTCGCGGCCTTGATTAAAAAGTCACTTTCCAAAAGGTTGAGATGAGGAATTGGTGGTCATTTTTCATCCAAATTGTTCATTTTCAAATCACTTAATAGACACTTTGATGTCTTTGGTTGCTGCCCTCTGGCTGAACTTGAGCTTCTCGTTTCCCTCCCCTTCAGACACACCATTGATCAAGTCAAGTCAAATTTATTTAAGCATTTGATACATGGTATATTCATTTGGGATGTTCTGCTGGTCATTTTTATTAGTGTCTTCCATTGGTTGGTTGGTTAGTGTGGTACAGATCATTGTACTTTTGTTGGACCTCGTTAGCTTTGCGTTCCATACAGATGTGTGTTGCACATTGACATACAGACTAATTAGTATGGGTGCTATCAGCTAGCTTTTGCTGTTTTATGTGACACAACAGAAAGTGCCCGAGCTGGGCAGAAGCTGCTAAGAGGATCAATTGGCTGTGATTTTCTGCACTGATTGATTCCACGGAGGCAGCGTAGCGGGAATGTGGCGGCAGGCGGTTGTGTAACTACGCCGTCCGCCGTTGATCTCGGCCTCTTTAGTGCCGCAATGATTGCAAAGATTAAGACGCGGATGGTGGTATGTTTCGGACGGGGGGGGGCTAAGTCTCCAATTAAACCCTGGCACGTCCTAGTTTGTCCCCTGCCTTTGGCGCATTTCGCTCGCCAACTGGCGGGCGGCGTGCTCTGCCTCGCGCCACTTTAAAGCCGGATTTATGGCCCCCTGTGTGTGTGTGTGTGTGTGTGTGTGTGT